ACATCAAATTGATCAGAAATACAGTGTAGACATTGTTACTGTTGTAAATGGCTATTGTAGCTGGAAACTGCTGATTTTTAATGGAATATCTACATAGGCGTACAGAGGCCCATTATCAGCAACCATCAGTCCTGTGTTCCAATGGCACGTTGTGTTTGCTAATCCAAGTTTATCATTTTAAAAGGCTAATTGATCAGTAGAAAAACCTTTAGCAATTATGTTAGCACAGCTTAAAACTGTTGTGCTGATTAAAGAAGCAGTAAAACTGTCCTTCTTGAGACTAGTTGAGTATCTGTAGCATCAGCAATTGTGGGTTCGATTACAGACTCAAAATGGCCAGAAACAAAAAACTTTATTCTGAAACTCGTCAGTCTATTCTTGTTCTGAGAAATAAAGGCTATTCCATGCGAGAAATTGCCAAGAAACTGAAGATCTCGTACAACGCTGTGTAACCAGAATAGAAAGAGGAGTGGGAGGCCCCGGTGCACAACTGTGCAAGAGGACAAATACATTAGAGTGTCTAGTTTGAGAAACAGGCGCCTCACAGGTCCTCAACTGGCAGCTTCATTAAATAGTACCCGCAAAACACCAGTCTCAACGTCAACAGTGAAGAGGCGACTCCGGGATGCTGACCTTCTAGGCAGAGTTGCAAAGAAAAAGCCATATCTCAGACTGCCCATCTTAATCTTTTCTTTTTATTAACCAGTCTGAGATAATACTGATTTAGCCCACTGCCGTAAAAGGTTAAAACTTGTAGTATATTTGAGGTTTTAAAAATATTCTGAAGTTTGTAATTTCCACTTTCAGACTTGATTTTCCTTTACGATAAATGTATTCATTTCTACCAAGATGTTGATGAACTATAATCCACATTTCCTGTTGAGAGAGACAGAGAGAGAGATGGTTGAGAAGATATGAAATATGGATTTTCTGCCTCTCTTTTTAAAATCAGGTCATTAATTAAATGCCCTCTGCTCCATTTGGGGAGTGTGATTAAAACTGCCCAGGACCACTCAATGTGTGGACAGGGGATTAAACCTCCCGCTACACCCAGGATCTCATAGTTTCCCTTCAAAATTTGAAGTATTATGGACAAACATCTATTTTTGATGCACTAATTCTGCGTGGTTACTGGGTTAAAACAGAAACAACTCAAAGGTTAACAGTTTAGACATTAATTCCAAGTGGTTAAGGTTTGAGCTATGGTTTGGGGAAGGCTCTGCAAATCAACTGACCTCATACACTCTTAGAAAAAATGGTTTTTCGGCTGTCCTCATAGGAGAACCCTTTATGGTTCAGGCAGAAGCCTTTTGGGTTCCATGTAGAGCCCTCTGTAGAAAGGGATCTACATGGAACCCAAACAGGTTCTACCTGGAACCAAAAAGGGTTATTCAAAGTGTTCTCCTATGGGGACAGCAGAAGAACCCTTTTAGGTTCTAGGTAGCACCATTTATTCTAATAATGTACCATCAAGTATAATCAAGTATTCTCACGGCTTGCAAGAGCAGTGGTCTGAACAGGGTGCTTCGGTGCTGAGTATTATGAGTTTGCACGCAGTGGTGGGCAATTTATGTGAGCGCCGAGGAAGGCATATACCGATGCTCTCAGGACCTTTTCAAACGTCCGAAATCAAAGTCTATTCCTAGTGATCAGGCTGCTACACCAGCCCTAGAGTGCCATTCAGAGAACCATGGGAAATACTTATTCATCACTCTCTCTCTTTCTCCATCTCCCTCTCCCTCTCTCTTTCTTTAACTCTCAAAGATTAACTCAGATTACACTCAACTAGAACCAACTAGAAAACAATAGAACCCTGTTTGAACCCAGAGGTTGACAACAACACTAACACATTAATGCACCATGTTAAAAACAACACTAATGCAAAATGTTTAACAACACTAATAAACCATTTCCACAGTAAGACATTCTACAGTTGTGTTTACATGCACACTTAGAAACCAGTTGCAGTCTCTAACAAGGCTGGTGTATTGTCATCAACTGGTACAGCTTGTGTCCCCCTAGTACCACATCATGCGCAGAAACACACACACACACACACACACACACACACACACACACACACACACACACACACACACACACACACACAAAACACCCTCCTCCTGTCCTGTGGGTGTTGTAACCTGACATTAAATCATTTATCTCTAATATTACCCATAAATCCCCACTTATTAACAGCAGCCTAGGGACTAAGCTGACATTTCGACACACACACATCCCTTACATTGTCAGATGAATACAGATGTCTTTGTCTTAGTGTGTGTGTGTCCAGCTTTTTTACTAGCCAGTTCACTGTTGTTAGCTAGCCAGTTGCAGATAGGCTGTCCTGTGGTCTAAATGAACAGGGAGGCTGTATAGACTGGGATTAGGGAGTAGAGTAGTCCCACGGGGGGCCAATATGAAAAAAAAAAAAAAAATGTATGCACTCACTAACTGTAAGTCGCTCTGGATAAGAGCGTCTGCTAAATGACTAAAATGTAAATGTAAAAATGTAGAGATTAGCTCTCTGCTCAGTGTCATCTGCAATCCAACCTCAACCCAACCCATTACACACACACACACACACACACACACACACACACACACACACACACAAACACACACGCAGACACACACTAGGGCTCCGCTAATAAAATCACAAGGGAAGAAGGGAAATACATACAAACACACACTGAAACACATTTTTGATGGACATACCAGTCCTGGGTTGAGGTAGTATTTTTTCTTTCAAATATTTTGAGCGTTTAAAAAATAAATATACTGTATAAAGCCTTTGATTGAGCCTGCCTGGAGTGCCAGATAGGCGGGTTTGCAGGTTCCACTTGTGGGACTATTCCATTGGTTCCATTCTGCCATGCAAGCTCAGTCATTTACATGAATATTCAGCATGCTCACTAAATTGTCTGATGCAATGGATAAGGCTGTGAAGTGTCTCCTCGCATGGATTCTAGCATTAATTAATTAGACCCTTGGAAGAGGAATGGGGCGGCAGGTAGCTTAGTGGTTAAGAGCGTTGTGCCAGTAACCGAAAGGTCGCTGGTTCTAATCTCCGAGCCGACTAGGTGAAAAATCTGTCGATGTGCCCTTGAGCAAGGCACTTAACCCTAATTGCTCCTGTAAGTTGCTGTGGATAAGAGCGTCTGCTAAATGACTAAAATGTAAAATGAATGCTGTCTCATTTACACACCTTTCTCTCCCTCCCACCTTCCTTGTCACCCTCCTCTCCTCTCCTTTTAATAGATTACGTGATAAAAGAGCACATTCTACTATGAGTGTGTCCGTGTGTGTACGTGTGTGTGTGTGTGTGTGTGTGTGTGTGTGTGGTTTGGTTTTACTAGTCCTCACAAGGATAGTAAAACAAGGAACATTTATTTTTTAGGCTTAGGGGTTAGATTTAAGGTTAGGGTTACAATTAGGGTTAGTGTTAGGGGTGAAGTTTAGGTTTATGAGTTAGGGTTAGGTTTAGTTTCAGGGTTAGGGTTTTAGGATTAAGTTTAGGTTAAGGGTTAGGGTTAGGGTTTGGTTTAGGGTTAGGGAAAATAGGATTTTGAATGTGTGTCCATGCTGGCTTCTAAGCTCAGTCTTCATGTCAGGTAGGAAAAGCCTTCAAATTACCCTCACAAGTGGAGTCTCTGTCACTCAGTTATAAATATCAAAGTTGTCACACAGACGCAGATACGCATGCACACACACCTAGCCAGATTCTGCTGGTCTCCATGGATGCATGTATCTGCTCTCCCCATAGGCTGATTAACAGAGGCACATTGATTGGTTCAGATCGATGGGTTGCAGCACTGTTTAGAAAGCCAATACAGACAACTTTTGGCCTCTCTACATCATATAATTACTATGATCACAACATTGTCAGTGTTTTGTCTGTCTTATATCTGTAGCCTCCCCCATTATAACAGGTACAATAGGTCTGTTCAGGTTTCAGAGCACTGTTGACTTGGCGTGTGTGTGTGTGTATGTGTGTAAGAGGGAAAGGAAATACCTAGTAAACTGCACAACTGAATGCATTCAACTGAAATGTGTCTTCTACATTTAACCCAACCCCTCTGAATCAGAGAGGTACGGGGGGCTGCCTTAACCCATAAGAGTCTAAGCCCTGTCTAAGCAGGGGGAGGGGAGGGGATGGGGGGGTACTACTAAGCTATATGGAATTGTTTTAAGAAGGTCATACCAAGGATATTTTGCTATTTGATTTGGAATTTTAAGACCCTTTCAAGTATAAAAAAAAATGGAATTTATTTTTTGATGAACAATTATTTTCAGCCTTACTGCTATTAGACAATACAAACACATTGAATAACAGATTCACTACATTGAACAACAGATAGTCCCCCAAAAAATCAAAAGGAAGTTTGTTCTGAAGTGTCTGTCCTATATCTGAGTCATATAAGAAAGATCAGGAAACATTTTATAAAAAATTTTAACATGTATTTAACCCCTTATTTTTGTCACTGAACATTTGCTTCCGTCTGGCCACTCTACCATTAAGGCCTGATTGGTGGAGTTCTGCCGAGATGGTTGTCCTTCTGGAAGTTTCTCCAATCTCCGTAGAGGAACGCTAGAGCTCTGTCAAAGTGACCATTGGGTTCTTGCTCACCCCCCTGACCAAGGCCCTTCTCCCCCGATTGCTCAGTTTGGCCAGGCGGCCAGCTCTAGGAAGAGTCTTGATGGTTCCAAACTTCTTCCATTTAACAATGATGGAGGCCACTGTGTTCTTGGGTACCTTCAATGCTGCAGAAATGTTTTGGTACCCTTCCCTAGATCTGTGCCTCGACATAATCCTGGCTTGGAGCTCTACGGACAATTCCTTCAACCTCATGGCTTGGTTTTTGCTCTGACATGCACTGTCAACTGTGGGACCTTATATAGACAGGTGGGTGCCTTTCCAAATCACGTCCAGTAATTTGAATTTACCACAGATGGACTCCAATCAAGTTGTAGAAACATCTCAAGGATGATCAATGGAAACAGGATGCACCTGAGCTCAATTTCGAGTCTCATAGCAAAGGGTTCTGAATACGTATGTAAATAAGGTATTTCTGTTTTTTATTTGTAATACATTTGCAAAAATTTATAAAAACCTATTTTCGCTTTGTCATTATGGGGTATTGTGTGTAGAGTTTTTTATTTTATCCATTTTAGAATAAGGCTGGAATGTAACAAAATGTGGAACAAGTCAAGGGGTCTGAATACTTTCCGAAGGCACTGTACTTCCATAAAAATTTTTCGACTGGTACCGGGGGACCTTCAGACGAGTCTTTTGAGGCATGTGGGCATCCTAAAGCAAAACAACCGACATGTATGTGAGAGTCTCACATTTACACAGAGGGGTCATATTACTGTGTAGCCCAAACGCTACAGAGAGAAGTTGGCAGAACCGACTTCAGACGAGTCCCAAGACTCTTGTGGGGGTTGTAGAGCAAATCGGAGAACACCATCATGTTCGCGAGAGTCTCATATTTCCTTAGAGGGGTAATAGTTTGTAGGCCAAACCGTTTGGACGCTACAGATGATTTTGTGAGAAGACCGATTTTCAGGATGTCTCATGGTCTGACAAACACTGCTCTAGCTCTGTCGCCTTTCACTGCAGAAGTGATACATAGGCAGATCAAATCAAATCAAATCAATTTTTATTTGCCACATGCGCCGAATACAACAAGTGTAGACATTACCGTGAAATGCTTACTTACAGCCCTTAACCAACAATGCATTAATTTTTTTATGAAAAACTAAAATAAAACAACAACAACCAAAAAGTATTTTAAAATGTTAAGGGCCTTAGTCTGACACCGCCTGGTATAGAGGTCCTGGATGGCAGGGAGCTTGGCCCCAGTGATGTACTGGGCCGTACGCACTACCCTCTGTAGTGCCTTGCGGTCGGAGGCCGAGCAGTTGCCATACCAGGCGGTGATGCAACCAGTAAGGATGCTCTCGATGGTGCAGCTGTAGAACTTTTTGAGGATCTGAGGACCCATGACAAATCTTTTCAGACTCCTGAGGGGGAATAGGCTTTGTCATGCCCTCTTCACGACTGTCATGGTGTGTTTGGACCATGATAGTTCATTGGTGATGTGGACATCAAGAAACTTGAAGCTCTCAACCTGTTCCACTACAGCCCCGTCGATTAGAATGGGGGCGTGCTCAGTCCTCTTTTTTTTTCCTGTAGTCCATAATAATCTCCTTTGTCTTGGTCACGTTGAGGGAGAGGTTGTTATCCTGGCACCACACGGCCAGGTCTCTGACCTCCTCCCTATAGGCTGTCTCATCGTTGTCGGTGATCAGGCCTACCACTGTTGTGTCGTCGGCAAACTTAATGATGGTGTTGGAGTCGTGCCTGGCCATGCAGTTATGGGTGAACAGGGAGTACAGGAGGGGACTGAGCACGCACCCCTAGGGGCCCCCGTGTTGAGGATCAGCGTGGCAGATGTGTTGTTACCTACCTTTACCACCTGCGGACTGTCAGCAAGTCCAGGATCCAGTTGCAGAGGGAGGTGTTTAGTCCCAGGATCCTTAGCTTAGTGATGAGCTTTGAGGGCACTATGGTGTTGAACGCTGAGCTGTAGTCAGTGAATAGCATTCTCACGTAGGTGTTCCTCTTGTCCAGGTGGGAAAGGGCATTGTGGAGTGAAATAGAGATTGCATCATCTGTGGATCTGTTGGGGCGGTATGCAAATTGGAGTGGGTCTAGGGTTTCTGTGATAACCTGTAGCTCAGTTGGTAGAGCATGGCGCTTGCAACGCCAGGGTTGTGGGTTTGTTTCCCAGGGGGGGCCAGTATGAAAATATATGCACTCACTAACTGTAAGTTGCTCTGGATAAGAGCGTCTGCTAAATTACTAAAATGTAAAATGTAAATAATGGTGTTGATGTGAGCCATGACCAGCCTTTCAAAGCACTTCATGGCTACAGACGTCAGTGCTACGAGTCAGTAGTCATTTAGTCAGGTTATCTTAGCGTCCTTGGGAATGGGGACTATGGTAGTCTGCTTGAAACATGTTGGTATTACAGACGCAGTCAGGGACATGTTGAAAATGTCAGTGAAGACATTTGCCAGTTGGTCAGCACATGCTCGGAGTACACGTCCTGGTAATCCGTCTGGCCCTGCGGCCTTGTAAATGTTGACCTGCTTAAAAGTCTTACTCACATCGGCTACGGAGAGCGTGATCACATAGTCATCCGGAACAGCTGGTTCTCTCATGCATGCTTCATTGTTGCTTGCCTCGAAGTGAGCATAGAAGTTGTTTAGCTCGTCTGGTAGGCTTGTGTCACTGGGCAGCTCGCGGCTGTGCTTCCTTTTGTAGTCTGTAATAGTTTTCAAGCCCTGCCACATCCGACGAGCGTCAGAGCCGGTGTAGTACGATTCAATCTTAGTCCTGTATTGACTCTTTGCCTGTTTGATGGTTCGTCGGAGGGCATAGCGGGATTTCTTATAAGCGTCAGGGTTAGAGTCCCACTCCTTGAAAGCGGCAGCTCTACCCTTTAGCTCAGTGCGGATGTTGCCTGTAATCCCTGGGTTCTGGTTGGGGTATGTACGTACGGTCACAGTGGGGACGACGTCATCGATGCACTTATTGATGAAGCCAGTGACTGATGTGGTGTACTCCTCAATGCTATCTGAAGAATCCCGGAACATGTTCCAGTCTGTGCTAGCAAAACAGTCCTGTAGCTTAGCATCGTCATCTGACCACTTTTTTATTAACCGAGTCACTGGTGCTTCCTGCTTTAGTTTTTGCTTATAAGCAGGAATCAGGAGGATAGAGTTATGGTCAGATTTGCCATATGGAGGGCGATGGAGAGCATTGTATGTGTCTCTGTGTGTGGAGTAAAGGTGGTCTAGAGTTTTTTTTCCTCTGGTTGCACATTTAACATGCTGGTAGAAATGAGGTAGAACGGATTTATGTTTCCCTGCATTAAAGTCCCCGGCCACTAGGAGCGCTGCTTCTGGATGAGCGTTTTCCTGTTTACTTATGGCCTTATACAGCTCGTTGAGTGCAATCTTAATGCCAGCATTGGTTTGTGTGGTAAATAGACAGCTATGAAAAATATAGATGAAAACTCCCTTGGTTAATAGTGTGGTCTACAGCTTATCATAAGATACTCTACCTCAGGCAAGCAAAACCTCGAGACTTCCTTAGCATTTGATTTTGTGCTCCAGCTGTTGTTTACAAATATACACAGACCGCCACCCCTTGTCTTACCGGAGTCAGCCGTTCTATCCTGCCGTTGTAGCGTATATCCCGTCAGCTGTATGTTGTCCATGTCGTCGTTCAGCCACGACTCTGTGAAACATAAGATATTACCGTTTTTAATAACCCGTTGGTAGGATAACCGTAATCGTAGGTCATCTAATTTATTTTCAAATGATTGCACATTGGCTAATAGGATTGATGGAAGAGGCAGTTTACTCGCTCGCCGTCGGATCCTTACAAGGCACCCCGACCTACGTCCACGATGTCTCCGTCTCATTCTCCTGCGAATGACGGGGATTTGGGCCTTGTCAGGTGACTGTAGGATATCCTTCGTGCCCTACTCATTGAAGAAAAAATCTTCGTCCAATACAAGGTGAGTAATCGCTGTCCTGATATCCAGAAGCTCTTTTTGGTTATAAGAGACGATGGCAGAAACATTATGTACAGAATAAATTACAAAAAACACATAATAGTACAATTGGTTAGAGGGCTGTAAAACGGCAGCCATCTTCTCCGGCGCCATCTCCCCAGATGCGGTGGATTGAGACGCAAGGGCGTGGACATCGACCTTAGGGGGTTAATCGATATCATCATCACCTGGGAGCAGTTGTTGTTGGGGGTTAACTGCCTTGCTCATGGACAGAACGGCTGATTTTTCCACGTTGCCTGCTTGGGGATTCGAACCAGCAACCTTTCGGTTACTGGCCCAACACTCTTAACCGCTAGGCTACCTGCCGCCGGGTGTGTGTACATGTGTGTGCGTGTGTACGTGTGTGGTATTTCCACTCTAATGAGAGTGAGTTGGTAGAGGGAGTCTTGTTTCCATGGTACCAGCTCATGAAGCGATATGATGCAAAGTAATTAGCAACACTTGATGAATGTGTCTGTTTACCACTGCATGATAGTAGTCAACGCCAAGTGTGTGTGTGGGTGAACAGTTTGTGTGTCTGTGCGCGTGTGTGCATGCGTGCATGAATGTCTAACCCCTATCTGTCTCCCTCTACCAGTTCAACACCAGGGTGAATAACACAGCGTGTTTTGACCACCTGGTCCAGGCCAACGTGAGGAATAAGAAGATCCTGAAGGATGCGATTCAGAACATCTCTGCTAAAGGCATCACCAACTACACCAAGGGATTTGAGTTTGCCTTCGAACAGCTCTATGCAGTAAGAAGCCCTATGCTCTGTTCATAACACTGTGGTAATAACAGATGTATATCGACAGCCCTGCTCCTTCTGATTTTACTTTGATAATTCAGGAACATACTGTACTTCATGAAATATGTACAAACTATCACCTGTGATCTCTGCCCTTTCTCGTATGATAGATTATTGTCAGACACTGCCCTCTGCTGTCATAGTGGGTTTATCTCTATTTTCTAACCCAGCGGTGCCTAACACAGCTTGACGTTTATTGTCATGAATCTTGCCCTGGAGGCAGAACTGAGCGATTACCGCTAGATGGGCCAACTGCAAAGTCAAAATTGTCTATATTGTCAAAATTCATGAAATCAAAATGTGCTTTTTGATCTTAATTTAAGGGTTAGCAGTGTGGATAAGGTTAGTGTTAACGTTAGGATTATGTTTAAAATCTGATTATATGACTTTGTGGCTGTGCCAGATAGTGACCACAGTGCATTTCTGCCTCCAGGGCAAGATTCATGACAATAAATGCCAACCTGCAGGTCCACCCTCCTCCTGGGTGTGTACTCCAGTCATTTAAAACCCTGATTTTAATCATCATCTGCTTCTTACCAGTACCTTGATTACAGGATTTGGTGGTGGTGTGTTAGGATGGGGGTTAGCAACCACTGTTCTCTACCTGGTGTGTTTTCTCTGTGCAGACTAACATCACTAGAGCCAACTGTAACAAGATCATCATGCTGTTCACTGATGGAGGAGAGGAGAGAGCATCGGCCATACTGCAGGAATACAACTCTGACAAGAAGGTACAGTTGAACGCACACACACTTTAATGTATAATCCACCTAGTCGGTGACCCTTCTAGTAAATATGAAAGCAGGTCTGACTGCTGAAAGGTAAACACAGAGTAATGGGTTGGATCAAGAGGAATTATTATGTGTGCTGAACCTATGGTTTATACAGGTGGAGGGCAGATTATTATTATCTATATGCACGCACCCATACCCACACACACACACACACACACACACACACACACACACACACACACACACACACACACACACAGTCTTGTATAACTAAGCTTGTGGGGACATACAATTCAGTCCCATTCAAAATCCTAACCCTAAACCTAACCCTAACCTTAACCCTAGCTCCTAACCCTAACCCTAAAAATAACCCTAGCTCTTAACCCTAACCCTAACCCTAATTCTAACCCTAACACTAATTCTAACCTTAACCCTAAACCCCCTAGAAATAGAGTTTGACCTTGTGGGGACTAACAAACAGATATGAAGTGTGATGATAACTCTACCAAAGCTAAAGCTATTCTCTTTGCTCAGCACATGAGAGTAGATGGGTATGATGGGGGGTAGAGAGAGCATGGTAACACCTGCCCTTCACAAAACAACCCACTGCGTGCACTGTAACAGTAGTCCTTCCCACTAGCAAGATGTAATATTCTATGGCTCATAATAACCTCACAGTGGGTTGGTTCACACAGTACCTAACTATGGTTGGTTGACTTCCATCACACACATTACGGTTCAATGTGGATGTTGCTATAACAGATTAATATGATCCTGTGTTCTAGGTGCGTATCTTCACCTTCTCAGTGGGTCAGCACAACTATGATAAAGGTCCAGTCCAGTGGATGGCTTGCGCTAATAAAGGTAGGATATTATGTTGTTGTTTGTAATATTAAAGCACTGGTACTACTGTGTATGATTTGAGGTCCATTTTGGGTCATATAGTTAATGTCCTGATCTTAGCCCATTATCTGTTTCTCCCAGGATACTTCTATGAGATTCCCTCAATTGGAGCCATACGCATCAACACTCAAGTGAGAAGCATTGTGCATGAACAAGTGTGTGTGTGTGTTTAATTTTGTCCCAGATGTGTGTCTGTGGTTGACTTTGTCTTTAAGGTGTGTGTTTGAAGGAGTGTGTGTATCTGTGTGTTCTAGGAGTACCTGGATGTACTGGGCAGACCCATGGTTTTAGCTGATAAGCTGGCCAAGCAGGTCCATTGGACTAATGTCTACCTCGACGCTCTGGTATGACAACACTTCCTCCTATCCCACAATGCACCTCACCAAAATCTACCTCCACGCCGGAGGTTTCTGAAACCCAACAGCGATTACTTTAATGTTGCTTTCTTTGTCTATGTGTGTGTTAGGAGCTAGGTCTGGTCATCACAGGAACCCTACCTGTCTTCAACAAGACCAAGTATAAAGATGAATTGGGCATAGAGGTAATCCCCATAAACAACCAGGCAAACAAACTCTTTACATTTACCCAGAATGACTTACAGTAGTGAGTGCATACATTTTCATACCCCCCATGGGAATCATACCCACATCCCTACTGTTACAAGCGCCATGCTCTACCAACTGAGCCACACGGGACCGTTTTTCATATAATCCCATCCCAGCAATAGACATCAATAGCTTCTAAGCACGACTCTTACTATACAGACTTTGTGATTTTATATTTTAATTTTGAACTCCCTGCCTCTTTCCCCATCTTTCCCTCTCTCTCAGATTCAGAACCAGTTGATCCTAGGGGTGATGGGGATTGACGTGTCACTAGATGACATCAAGAAGCTCACGCCACGCTTCACTGTGAGTGACACACACACTAACACACCAGAACAGTCCTTATTCTCCTACTTCAGTCTCAGTGTTACTCTGACAGCCCTACCCTCTCTCATATGAACTCAATCATGTTGATGATACTTTAATAACCCAGAACAGTGATGTATTGAGAAGACATCCATGTTCCCTGTAGTGTACAGCCTATGATCAACTGTCTCCTCCAACCCTCTCTGTTCCTCCATTCCTTAGATCGGACCTAATGGATATTATTTTGCCATCGACCCCAACGGATATGTGCTGCTGCACCCCAACCTCCAACCTAAGGTATGTACTATTCATACCTCTTCTATTCTGTTAACACGTCTTACAATCCCAACTCATACAGAGTTGACTGATGATCCTGAGGTGCTACTATGACTGCTGTGGATCTTATGCATGTTCATATGAACCCACACATGATCGTAGCACAGGCCACCATAATGGTCCACCATAATGGTCCTGACCCACCTTTAGAGATACACAACCCACTGCTCCTCCCTACCTCTTCTATTCCTCCTCCCTTTTCCTTTCCTCCTCTCCTGACCTCCTCCTCAACACTCGCAGGCCAGGTCTTGACAGGCTGCAGAGGGCCATGTGTGGCCCAGGCTCTCTTTTGGGGCATGTTGTGTTCAGAGGGGGGCCTCTCTGGATCTGAGTCCTAGTTCTCCTGGGACACATGTTCACATGTCATCTCATCCAGCCATAGCTTTAAACACTAATCAAAATGGATGCACTCTCATGGATCCAATCTATACATACACACACAGGCACTCGCACTTAACCCTGACCAACACACATCATATACAGGGTGTGCATGCGTGTGTGTGAAGGCATGCAGCCTTTTTCAAAGGGAACCATTTCAAAGTGACTGGAGGTCTTGTAGAGTGTTTTATACGTTTCCTAAGGAGGAACCATGTGTGTGAGTGTGTCAGTCAGGTTTTGGAGCATGCTCCGTTACAGAGAGGGGATCAGAGATGAATGCCATCAGAAGGCCATGGTCTGACTAATGTGTTTTTAACCATGCTGATATACCAGCCAGGTCACCCATGATACAAGTCAGTATTCAACGTCCATCCACGTCTGAGGACGTCAGGAGATGACGTGGAAACTGGCCACGAGGGGCAACAGTGAGCGCTGTTACCTTCAAGTAGGTTTCGGTTTTGCGAGTGCATCGTGGACGGGGATGGCGTAAGCATCTGCCTCTGATTCCAAAAGGTTGCAAGTTCGAATCCAGTGATAGAAAGTTGTTTTTGATATTTTTGTTTTAAGCCTACCCCAAACTTTAGTCCTTACCTTAACCATTCAGAGTTAATGCCTAACCTTAAGATTTCAGAGTTAATGCCTAAACTTAACCTTAAACACTTCGACATTTGAAGTTTGGAACAACTTCGAAATTTGAAGTTTGAGATTCTGATGTGAAACGGAGAGCTACACTGAGTATACAAAACATTAAGAACACAAGCTCTTTCCATAACATAGACTGACCAGATGAATCCAGGTGAAAGCTATGATCCCTTATTGATGTCACTTGTTAAATCCACTTCAATCAGTGTAGATGAAGGGGAGGAAACAGGTTAAAGAAGGATTTTTAAGCCTTGAGACAATTGAGACATGGATTGTGTATGTGTGCCATTCAGAAGCTGAATGGGCATGACAAAAGGTTTAAGTGCCTTTGAACGCCGTATGGTAGTAGGTGCCAGGCGCACCGGTTTGTATCAAGAACTGCAATGTTGCTGGGTTTTTCACACTCAACAGTTTCCCGTGTGTATCAAGAATGGCGCACCACCCAAATGACATCCAGCCAACTTGACACAACTGTGGGAAGCATTGGCGTCAACATGGGCCAGCATCCCAGTGGAACGTTTTCGACACCTCGTCCATGCCCCGACAAATTTAGGCTGTTCTGAGGGCAATGTTAGGAAGGTGTTCCTAATGTTTGGTATACTAAGCGTATGCTACAGACTACCTAAGTGGGGCACACACAACCCTTTGTTGAAGGTTGCAACAGTCATGGTTTGATTCCTGCCTGGCCACATGTGTGTAAACGTTTATTCTATTTAGATAAAAATGCCTGGCCTATGAATTCCTATTATTATCAAATGGATAATAATATGTTTCCCACTGAAATACACCCTGCATCTCTCTCATTACAGTATGTATCTGTTAGAAAATGATCTGTAACCGCAAGACAAGACTCAGTAAGCCATCACCTTCCATGAGGTGAGACAGTAGGAAAGATAGAGAGTAGATGTACTACACAGAAGGTTAATGGCACCTTAATTGGGGAGGACGGGCTTGTGGTAATGGCTGGAGCGGAAAGGTGGAATGGTATCAAATATGGTTTCCATTTGTTTCATGCCATTCCATTTGCTTTGTTCCAGCCATTATTATGAGCCGTCCTCCCCTCAGCAGCCTCCACTGATGTACTATAGTAGAACATAGTATAGACTTAGATTAGTAGCCCTTAAGGCTGATCTTTAACTGTAAGACCATTGAGTAGAGTGTGTGTGTCCAGTAAAATATAGTCAAGTGATGGTGTTTCCTGATGCTATAGCCTTATGAGCAGCCATACTCATACATTTCAGGAGGAATAAATAATAATAGTGACTAGTACTTATTAGTTAGTTACGAACCTCCAATAAACTAATGTCACATAATTAGCTAAATGTTTCACACTGTTTATTTGGACTTTTCATATTTTCTATGTTACGGTTTCTTTCCTCTAATCCATCTGTCTTGTTGTCATTATGTTATGTAAGTGACTAGAGACGTTTGGGTGTGTGTGTTCGGTTGTGTGTGTGTGTGTATGTGAGAGGGTGAGGGAGAAAGAGAAGGGTAGGTCCTAGAGGAAATTATAGATGTTCTAGATAAGGCAGTTAGTTTCCTATGATGAGTTAAGTCATTGGAGCTAGAGCTGTCTGGCAGAGAGAAGCAGTGACTGAACTAACACATGATGACATGACCAGGGATATAGCAAGCTGCTGGTTTGCCTTTCTCCCTGGATCAATTCATGAAACTGTAATTCCTATTTATATTCACAACATACACTTGCTTTTAAAATTATGTCCATAATCCAGTGAAAGGGCATGGGTATTTTCTCATGGACCCCTGTGCTGTCTATGGTCTCTCCCACGGGGGCCCACCCTGAAACACACACCCTGTCAATCTTACTGTGTATGATGTGTGCGTGTCCGTGCCTGTGTGCGTGCATGTGTGTGTCTGTGCAAATGTGTGATCAGAGAAACAGAGGGGTGTGTGAATATTGAGGGTGACTTTGGACTATTTGAACATATTCTCTCTTTTCTCTCTTTTTCTTGTGTTTCGGTCTGTATCTGATTATGGTTGTAAAGAAAACCCATTTCATATTCATCACATAAATCCCTCGCTATATTTGGTGTTGGATTTTGATCTCTCTTCCCCACCCACTCACTTACCCCCTCTTTCTTTCTCTTTCTTTCTTTCTCTTTCTTTCTTTCTCTTTCTCTCTTTCTTTCTCTCTTTCTCTCTTTCTTTCTTTCTTTCTTTCTTTCTTTCTTTCTTTCTTTCTTTCTTTCTTTCTTTCTTTCTTTCTTTCTTTCTTTCTTTCTTTCTTTCTTTCTTTCTTTCTTTCTTTCTTTCTTTCTTTCTTTCTTTCTTTCTTTCTTTCTTTCTTTCTTTCTTTCTTTCTTATTCATATACTTTCATCCTCCCTCCTTCATTTTACTGTTTATCAATGTGCATGTATTTTCTGTATCAACTTATGGCCTCTATCGCAACTAGCTCTCATGTCAGAATTAGACGTTCATCCATGTTTTTCAAATTTCAAAGTTGTTAAGTTTAGGCATTAACTCTGAATTTTTAAGGTTAGGGTTAAGTTTAGGCATTAACTCCTAATGGTTAAGGTAAGGGTTAAGATTTGGGGTAGGCTTTAAAAAAAATCTCAAAACAACTTTCTATCGCTGGATTCAAACTTGCAACCTTTGGAATCAGAGGCAGATGCTTATGCCCAATCCCGTCCACAACACCCTGGCAAAACCGAAACCTACTTGAAGTTAACAATACTCACTGTTGCCCCTAGTGGCCGGTTTCCAAGTCATTTCATGACGTCCTCAGACATGGATGGACGTCGAATACTGACTTGTATCACAGGTGACCTGGCTGCTCTAACAAATTAGATGTTATTCATCTTCCTCCTCCTTCTCGACTGTTCCATCTTTATTTTCTCTCTTCATCCAATGTAAGGATAATTTATTAACCACCATCATCATCACAGTGTGTGTCTGTTGCTTTTGCAGAAACTAAATCCACATGAACCTTCTATAAAGGGTATGCAGTCTAAAGGTAGAGCAGCATTGTTTGGGACCAGAGTATCAGGTTCCATCCATTTACTGGTGCTTTAACAGAATAGTTCTGGATTACTGCTGCTACTTACATTATAACATTTTAAAGTCACTGATACGCACAGAGGGTTTCACTGCTGACATTAACACAGTGTACAGTCAGTCTGTATCAAACACACACACACACACACAGACTCAAACAGGCATACAGAAAACACACGCATAGACTAAACCATCACGCACACAAGCAACACACACAAACACACACACACACACACATACACACACACATACCAGCTAAAGCATTCCAGTCAGTGGTAAACCCCTACCTGGCATTGATTCTCAGCTTTATAAACTAGGCTCTTTTTCTGAATGTATTTAAAACTATACAGGTTATCATCTTGTATTTAACATGATTCAAAGGGCTATAGGGTAAGGAGCAGAGTTTTACTCTATGGCCTGAAGCCATGCTGAGAACCCATCACTGAAAAACATACATTGCAAAGTCTACTGCGTTTCATTACAACTCACTGTAACAACTCAACATGATTCAGAGGGACCGATACAAAACAGGGTCATTCTATTGAATTGACCAGCTTTATTTACTACAATAACCCAGTGTTTCTCTCCATAGTTATATTCTATTCACTGGTTTCTTGTAAATATTGAATGAATTTATATATGGGTACCTTGTGTGTGTGTGTGTGTGTGTGTGTGTGTGTGTGTGTGTGTGTGTGTGCACGTGCGTGCCTGAGTGTGTGCTTGCTTGCCTGAGTTTGTGTGCGTGTGTGCCTGTCTGTGTGCGCGAGTGTCTGCTAACTCATCCACCAGACTAAACACCCTCCTCTCCTCAGAACCCTAAATTCCAGGAGCCTGTCACTCTGGACTTCCTCGATGCTGAACTGGAGAACGACGTCAAAGTCCAGGTAAACACACACACACACACACACACACACAGGTGTTAGTTGTGTCCTGTCTCCTACTAAATCTAATTGAGTGTGATTTACATAGTGACTGGCTGTAAATGAGAGGACATGTTTACAGGAGCAGTGGACACCACACCGCTGTCTGTCTCTCCCTCTCCTTTAATATACTGTTGGAGTAAAGTTCAGCAGATACAGTATGTGCTACAATCTCCGTGTTGTTATTCCTCTCTCTCTCTCTCTCTCTCTCTCTCTCTCTCTCTCTCTCTCTCTCTCTCTCTCTCTCTCTCTCTCTCTCTCTCTGGTGTACAGATGTGCACTGTGTTTTAGATTATAGAGAGAACGGTAGAGAGATCAAACCCTCTAACCATTCACACATCTGACACAGGGTACAGTTGAAGAAGAAACATTTTCAGATGTATTTGGTTATTTGTCTCTCTCTCTCTCTCTCTCTCTCTCTCTCTCTCTCTCTCTCTCTCTCTCTCTCTCTCTCTCTCTCTGTAGATCAGGAGAATTATGATAGATGGGAACCCAGGTGAAGAGACCATAGAGACTCTGGTTAAAACTCAGGATGAGGTGAGATCAGCACAAATTACAGATAAATATGTTACTAATACTGACTCACTGATGTGATCGCCCAGGGAAATCAGTAAATGATTTATGGGGAAGAGAGTTATATGTAGGTTATGCTTTAGGATTAGGACTGTTTGTGTGTGTGTGTTTTCATATATATTTGTGCATGTGTGCGTGCTTGTGTATGTGTTTGTGTGCATGTGTGTGTTTTCTGACAGAGATACATCGACAGAGGAGTACGGACGTACACCTGGGCTCAGGTCAATGGAACTGACTATAGGTGAGCAGGAGGACTGAGAGATGTTGATGCCAGTTCAGAAACAACCCCTAACCCCATAGCTGTAGCCCTAGAAACTAGTGGCGATCTGAAAGCATTGGATAGGTTGCTGTGGAATCGCAGTTGTCTTAGATCTCGCTTCATGAATAATATACTTCTGGCCAATAGGGGGCACTCTATGTCCCTCTCCATCACAGTAAAGCAATCACTCAAATGTGTTTATGCAGATGATCAGTGTTCTGTCACCTTGTGGAAGGAACGTGTTTTTCCAAGCATCGCCATCAGTCTGTCAACAGTGACCATACCTTTATTTCCCCAGCTTGGCCCTAGTCCTGCCAACGTACAGTGAACACTACATACAGGCCAAACTGGGAGACACCATCAGACAGGCTATGGGTGAGCACAGACAAACAGACACACAAACACACACATACACACACACAAACAAAACCTTCCTCAACAACTCTGCTCTCAGATCAGTGAGTTTTGTCGATGTCCCTTCTTTATAGCGTGGCCCTCTGGACCAGTCTCCTGTCCTCCTACTCCAACATAGACTTAACCACACACACTTTGATCCTCCCTCCCTGTCTCCTCTCCCACTTCCCACTTCCTTTGTTCTCTCTCTCACTCTCTACCTTCCTCCTTTCCATTACTTTTTCCTCTGTTCCCTCTCTTGGAATCCGAGGGCAGAGGGGACATGTTACCCTCTACAAAGCCTGACTCTGCTCCAGGGCTTTCCTCTGGACTGTAAATCTGTCTGTACCTCTTTCTCTACCCAGACCTGGTTTATAGCTACTCATAGTGGCTTTATCACATGGTCCACGTACCTCTGATGTTTCAAGATAAATCCACCTCTACATCCAACTCTCTGTTGACTTTAATGTTCCCCTCCTGTCCTCTCTCTATCTGCTCCTTTATTTGATCAATACAGCTCCATGGGGCAAGTATTCCGTTTATTCTCTGGTGTATAACTCACTTTTCAGTATCTCTCCTCCAGTCTCTGCATGATCATGTGTCTGTGTTTGCATGATGAAGTATATTCATTCTACACGTTGACAGAGTGAAACAAGAGGAAGTAAAACAAGTCTAAGACGGGAAAATGAATGACTAATGGAGTAATAGAAAGAGCAGTTAAGGTCCATGTGATCCCTGTCCTGCCAAGTCCTTAGAGGAGATGTCCCACAATCTACCTGTCATGTTTTACATGCTATTGAAATTCTTTGATTATGGGCCAGATACTCATGAACCTTTTGACACTGAACCATCAGTAAACGGTTTCACAGACTGCTGACATGACTGTATCAAGTTTAATGGAATTGTTTCTCATGATGTCTTCTTTTAAAAGATAGGGTGATGAACATTGATGTCTTTACGATTGTAGAAACTACAGAACAAAGTGAAATCCCAAGCCAAGGACTGTCATGTATGGAATGATAGGAGAGACAAACACTGTGCTGGAGTATCTGGGAACGAACTATACTTTATTACATGTCTCTGCATGGTAGCACCTCACAGTTTTGATAGTGCTGTTGTTTTAAATCAGTTTTCCTTTCTTTGTAATACTTTTTAATTGGTGTAATATGAATTTGTTAAGACATCTGAAATCCCAATGGTTCTGTTTTCTCTCTATTTTTCTCTATCTACCTACCTCCCTCTTCTCTCTACCCCCCCCCCCCCCCTCTTTCTCTTTCTCTCCCGCTCTCTCTCTCTCTTTCTCTCCCTCTCTCTCTCTCTCTCTCTCTCTCTCTCTCTGGGGTCACTACAGGGCAGAAGGGCAAGTATTCCTCTTCCCCTATTCTGTTTGTTCCATCACTTCAGTCTCACTCCACACCTTCTCTACCTCTCCACACCACACCTCACTTCATCTCTGTCCAACACTGTGTGTGTGTGTGTGTGTGTGTGTGTGTGCATGCATGTGTGACACACATTGCCATGTCACCACTGTAATCAGTCTGTGGTTGAAATGAAAATATTTGGCATGGGCCCTCAGATCCTCAACAATTTCTACAGCTTCACCATTGAGAGCATCTTGACTGGCTGCATCACCGCTTGGTATGGCAACTGCTTGGCATCTGTCTGCAAGGCGCTACAGAATGTAGTGCCTGGGCCGAGCTCCCTGCCATCCAGGACCTCTATACCAGGCAGTGTCAGAGGACGGCCCAAGCCGTACCAATGCACCAAGTCTGGAAACAACAGGACCCTGAAGAGCTTCTACCCCCAAGCCATAAGACTTTTAAACAAGACTGCTAAATAGCTAATCAAATGGCTACCCGGACTACCTGCATTAACCCTTTTTTGCACTAACTCTCTTGAACTGACTCTATGCAAACTCACTGGACCCACACACTCACACATACTTACACTGACACCCCAACACACACATACACACACCCACACACACATTACATATAGTGCATTCGGAAAGAATTCAGACCCCTTCATTCTTTCCACATTTTGTTACGTTATAAAATGGATTACATTTTTTTTCATTTTTACCTCATCAATCTACCCACAATACCCCATAATGACAAAGCAGAAAACGATTTTTATAATGTATTTATTTATAAAAAATAAAAAATAAACGGATATATCACAGTATTCAGATCCTTTACTCAGTACTTTGTTAAACCATCTTTGGCAGCGATTACAGCCTCGAGTCTTCTTAGGTATGAAGCTACAAGCATGTCAAAAATAATACAAGCATGTCAAAAATGATATAAATTGATTTGCATTTTAATGAGGGCAATGAGGGCAGTACTCTCTGTTCACCCATGACTGCATGGCCAGGCACGACTCCAACACCATCATTAAGTTTGCCGACGACACAACAGTGGTAGGCCTGATCACCGACAACGATGAGACAGCCTATAGGGAGGAGGTCAGAGATCTGGCCGTGTGGTGCCAGGACAACAACCTCTCCCTCAACGTGACCAAGACAAAGGAGATGATTGTGGACTACAGGAAAAAAAATAGGACTGAGCACGCCCCCATTCTCATCGACGGGGCTGTAGTGGAACAGGTTGAGAGCTTCAAGTTCCTTGGTGTCCACATCACCAACGAACTATCATGGTCCAAACACACCAAGACAGTCATGAAGAGCGCACGACAAAGCCTATTCCCCCTCAGGAGACTAAAAAGATTTGGCATGGGTCCTCAGATCCTCAAAAAATTCTACAGCTGCACCATCGAGAGCATCCTGACTGGTTGCATCACCGCCTGGTATGGCAACTGCTTGGCCTCCGACCGCAAGGCACTACAGAGGGTAGTGCGTACGGCCCAGTACATCACTGGGGCAAAGCTTCCTGCCATCCAGGACCTCTATACCAGGCGGGTGTCAGAGGAAGGCCCTCAAAATTGTCAAAGACTCCAGCCACCCTAGTCATAGACTGTTCTCTCTGCTACCGCACGGCAAGCGGTACCGGAGTGCCAAGTCTAGGTCCAAAAGACTTCTCAACAGCTTCTACCCCCAAGCCATAAGACTCCTGAACAGCTAATCATGGCTACCCGGACTATTTGCACTGCCCCCCCACCCCATCCTTTTTACGCTGCTGCGTCTCTGTTAAGTATTTATGCATAGTCACTTTAACTCTACCCACATGTACATATTACCTCAACTACCTCAACTAGCCGGTGCCCCCGCACATTGACTCTGCAACAGTACCCCCCTGTATATATAGCCTCCCTACTGTCACTTTATTTTACTTCTGCTCTTTTTTTTCTCAACACTTTTTTGTTGTTGTTGTTTTATTCTTACTTTTTTTGTTTAAAATAAATGCACTGTTGGTTAAGGGCTGTAAGTAAGCATTTCACTGTAATGTCTGCACCTGTTGTATTCGGCGCATGTGACCAATAAAATTTGATTTGATTTGATTTGGAATAAGTATTTGACCCCCTCTCAATCAGAAAGATTTATGGCTCCCAGGTGTCTTTATACAGGTAACGAGCTGAGATTAGGAGCACACTCTTAAAGGGAGTGCTCCTAATCTCAGTTTGTTACCTGTATAAAAGACACCTGTCCACAGAAGCAATCAATCAATCAGATTCCAAACTCTCCACCATGGCCAAGACCAAAGAGCTCTCCAAGAATGTCAGGGACAAGATTGTAGACCTACACAAGGCTGGAATGGGCTACAAGACCATCGCCAACAGCTTGGTGAGAAGGTGACAACAGTTGGTGCGATTATTAGCAAATGGAAGAAACACAAAAGAACTGTCAATCTCCCTCGGCCTGGGGCTCCATGCAAGATCTCACCTCGTGGAGTTGCAATGATCATGAGAACGGTGAGGAATCAGCCCAGAACTACACGGGAGGATCTTGTCAATGATCTCAAGGCAGCTGGGACCATAGTCACCAAGAAAACAATTGAAGGACTGAAATCCTGCAGCGCCCGCAAGGTCCCCCTGCTCAAGAAAGCACATATACAGGGCCGTCTGAAGTTTGCCAATGAACATCTGAATGATTCAGAGGAGAACTGGGCGAAAGTGTTGTGGTCAGATGAGACCAAAATCGAGCTCTTTGGCATCAACTCAACTCGCCGTGTTTGGAGAAGGAGGAATGCTGCCTATGACCTCAAGAACCCCATCCCCACCGTCAAACATGGAGGTGGAAACATTATGTTTTGGGGGTGTTTTTCTGCTAAGGGGAAAGGACAACTTCACCGCATCAAAGGGACAATGGACGGGGCCATGTACCGTCAATTCTTGTGTGAGAACCTCCTTCCCTCAGCCAGGGCATTGAAAATGGGTCGTGGATGAGTATTCCAGCATGACAATGACCCAAAACACACGGCCAAGGCAACAAAGGAGTGGCTCAAGAAGAAGCACATTAAGGTCCTGGAGTGGCCTAGCAAGTCTCCAGACCTTAATCCCATAGAAAATCGTCAGCATCGAAACTTTAATGACTTGGAGAAGATCTGCAAAGAGGAGTGGAAGAAAATCCCTCCTGAGATGTGTGCAAATCTGGTGGCCAACTACAAGAAAAGTCTCACCTCTGTGATTGCCAACAAGGGTTTTGCCACCAAGTACTAAGTAATGTTTTGCAGAGGGGTCAAATACTTATTTCCCTCATTAAAATGTAAATACATTTATAACATTTTTGACATGCATTTTTCTGGATTTTTTTGTAGTTATTCTGTCTCTCACTGTTCAAATAAACCTACCATTAAAATTATAGACTGATCATGTCTTTGTCAGTGGGCAAAAGTACAAAATCGGCAGGGGATCAAATACTTTTTTCCCTCACTGTATGTACAGTACATAGCTACCTCACTTACCTTGCACCCGTTCACATCGAACCAGTACTGGTACTCCCTGTATATAGCCATGTCATTTTCTGCTCCCTATATATATCCATGTGTTTTTTACTCTTTGTTTTTATTCGTTATTCACTGTGTATGTATTCGTTGTGTCACTATTTAAACATTTAATTCAATTTTGTATCTTATCTTTAACTTTGTATTGTTGGAAAAGGACCCATAAGTAAGCATTTCACTATTAGTCTACACCTGTTGTCTACGAAGCATGTGACAAATATCATTTGATTTGATTTGATTTGATGAACCAGTGTCAGTGGGTTGTCAGTGAGTTTAAGGATAGTCCTATTCTAGATAAGGCCTGACAGTGAGAGTCAGCAAAGTGTACTGTCCTAACAGCCGTGAAAAATCATGCTGACAGACTAGTGGCAATACCAAGCTTAAAAGATGGATAGGAGTTTAGCTCCATAATCACTGTCTCTCTGTCTTGTTTCACTCATTCATCTTTTTTTCAGTTCTCTCTTTTCATAATGATCAGTCTTATGTACTGTATAGGCCATGAATCCTCTTCCACAGTGTGTGTAAGGTTCTAAAGATGTCTCTCTATTCTCTTCAGCTATGGACACTCTGCAGGTGGAGAGGTTTGATGAGTTGGGCCACACCTTCATTGCCCCCAGGTGAGTGGCTAAAGCAGCATATATGAATCTCCTCCACCTCAGATCATATAGAACCATTGTTACTCCTGTAGTGTACTTACAGCCAGGAGTAGCTAGTTATTCCACAGCTTATGCCAGCATTGAGGAGCGCTGAGTAGCATTGAGGACCAGTATGAAAAAAAAAAATGTATGCACTCATGCTCTGGATAAGAGCGTCTGCTAAATGACTAAAATGTAAATTTTAGTTATTAAAGGGGTTGAGTATGATGTTGTGCAGATGTTGAGTTATGTTTGAGACCACTGTAATATATCTAATGTATGTCATATTTAAATAGGGAGTACTGCAAAGGCCTGAAGGACAATGACAACAACACCCAGTTCCTCCTGGACTTCAACCAGCTCATCGATAGGAACACACTGGAAGAGCCATGTAAGTTACCATGCCTGTCCCACACACGCACGCACACAAACACGCACACACACACACACACACACACACACACACACACACAGATGGAATTCCTCTGCCTGTTTTGTTCGATAGACAGTCAAGGTCAAAGAAAGAGTAGCTTTAGATCAATACAGTCATTACTCGGCAGTACACCCACTCAAGAGGGAGTGGTTAGTGGGGTGAGTCAGGACGGTTTCCTGCCACTGTGATATCATGGTGTTCCATAGCCCTGTGAAGGTCAGAGAGAACCATTAGACATTTGATTAGTCTGGTCTGGCCAGGTTGGCATCAGCCTGATCGAATGAGGTATAGGCGTTTGATTAGTCTAGTCTGGCCAGGGGGTGATATCATCCTGATCGACTAAACTTCCTAGAACTTGATGTTGTTAAGCTTCTGTGTGACTCAGAACCGCTATAGTGGTCATCATCTAATGGGTATCAGCTACTGTAGATCCTATCATCTTCCTCATCGTCAGCTAATGAATCTCAATGTCCTCTGTGTTGTCTAAGCAAGGTCAAGCTATCTTCTCCTATGTGTCATCCTTGGCATGGGGTCTACTATGGAAGGTAACTTCAGTAACAATGTCTTCCTCTCTAGGTAATGTGACTCTGGTCAGTAGGCTGCTGTTGGACGCTGGGTTGACGGCTGATCTGGTCAAACTGTGGAAGGAGCAGACATTGTGAGTGACTCACACACACACTTCCCGTCATCACTGCATTGTGTTACAGACATCATGTAAACATTGAGAGTCAGTTAAGTGAGTCATATACAGTGAGGGAAAAAAGTATTTGATCCCCTGCTGATTTTGTACGTTTGCCCACTGACAAAGACATGATCAGTCTATAATTTTAATGGTAGGTTTATTTGAACAGTGAGAGACAGAATAACAACAACAAAATCCAGAAAAATGCATGTAAAAAATGTTATGAATTGATTTGCATTTTAATGAGGGAAATAAGTATTTGACCCCTCTGCAAAACATTACTTAGTACTTGGTGGCAAAACCCTTCTTGGCAATCACAGAGGTCAGACGTTTCTTGTAGTTGGCCACCAGGTTTGCACACATCTCAGGAGGGATTTTGTTCCACTCCTCTTTGCAGATCTTCTCCAAGTTGTTAAGGTTTCGAGGCTGACGTTTGGCAACTCGAACCTTCAGCTCCCTCCACAGATTTTCTATGAGATTAAGGTCTGGAGACTAGCCAGCCCACTCCAGGACCTTAATATGCTTCTTCTTGAGCCACTCCTTTGTTGCCTTGGCCGTGTGTTTTGGGTCATTGTCATGCTGGAATATCCATCCACGACCCATTTTCAATGCCCTGGCTGAGGGAAGGAGGTTCTCACCCAAGATTTGACGGTACATAGCCCCGTCCATTGTCCCTTTGATGCAGTGAAGTTGTCCTGTCCCCTTAACAGAAAAACACCCCCAAAGCATAATGTTTCCACCTCCATGTTTGATGGTGGGGATGGTGTTCTTGTGGTCATAGGCAGCATTCCTCCTCCTCCAAACACGGAGAGTTGAGTTGATGCCAAAGAGCTCGATTTTGTTCTCATCTGACCACAACACTTTCACCCAGTTCTCCTCTGAATTATTCAGATGTTCATTGGCAAACTTCAGACGGGCATGTATATGTGCTTTCTTGAGCAGGGGGACCTTGCGGGCGCTGCAGGATTTCAGTCCTTCAAGGCATAGTGTGTTACCAATTGTTTTCTTGGTGACTATTGTCCCAGCTGCCTTGAGATCATTGACAAGATCCTCCCGTGTAGTTCTGGGCTGATTCCTCACCATTCTCATGATCATTGCAACTCCACGAGGTGAGATCCTGCATGGAGCCCCAGGCCGAGGGAGATTGAAAGTTATTTTGTGTTGCTTCCATTTGCGAATAATCGCACCAACTGTTGTCACCTTCTCACCAAGCTGCTTGGCGATGGTCTTGTAGCCCATTCCAGCCTTGTGTACGTCTACAATCTTGTCCCTGACATCCTTGGAGAGCTCTTTGATATTGGTCATGGTGGAGTGTTTGGAATCTGATTGATTGCTTCTGTGGACAGGTATCTTTTATACAGGTAACAAGCTGAGATTAGGAGCACTCCCTTTAAGATTGTGCTCCTACTCTCAGCTCGTTACCTGTATAAAAGACACCTGGGAGCCAGAAATCTTTCTGATTGAGAGGGGGTCAAATACTTATTTCCCTCATTAAAATGCAAATCAATTTATAACATTTTTGACATGCGTTTTTCTGGATCTTTTTGTTGTTATTCTGTCTCTCACTGTTCAAATAAATCTACCATTAAAATTATAGACCGATCATTTCTTTGTCAGTGGGCAAACGTACAAAATCAGCATGATATCAAATACTTTTTTCCCTCACTGTAGACAGTCAGGCTATTTCCTGTTTTATTGATGTCTTACTGAGGAAACACCAAGCAGCTAATACTGCTACATTCTAATGTATAGGTCTGTTGCTGTGAGAGTCTTGGCCTTGTTTTGCCAATAAAACATGGTGAAAGAAAGACACAGGACCAGACATGCCAAGCCATGCCAAGACTTAGTATGTTCTGAAGACACCACAGTAATATATCAACATGCATTCATTATACCATACACACACGTTTGTCCATTATAATCCACACAAGCTCAAACAAACAAAATTAATTTACTGAACAAAGAACTCTATTCAGAATTATGACATCAAGAGAAGTGACTCTCCGGAAATATAAAAAAAAGGTTCTGGACGCAGTGGAACAGAAAGAACTCACACACACACACTGGAATATTCAGTTCATGCCTCTTTCTGATTTGTCTCGATGGTCCCTTAGCCTCTGTTGTTGAACTGTAATTCGTTTCTGTGTTTTCTTTCGGTTTCAGGGACGGGGTCCTGGCCAGATTTGTAGCCACTGACGGAGGGATCACTAGAGTCTATCCCAGAAGGTACGCTAAGATTTCTCCTTCTCAGTCATACACTATTAGTTAGTTAGCCTCATGCTCCTATACTATACTGTATGTGCCTTGGCCAACTCTTATTGTATAAAGCCATGAAAACGAATAAATACAGATGTGACCGACCGGCTCGAGAGCAAAATTAGAAAATTGTGTTTTTTACATTGGATAAAAGTAGCGACTCAGAGCTAGAAAATTGTATATCATACACTACAGTTGAGGAACGATGGAAAAGTAATTCTGCTTTGAAAGTTGATAAACTTGTGAGAAACACTTTTGAGAAAATGGCCCTAGAATGTTTTGGTACACCTACTGGAGAGCTCCTCTTTGTCTACACCTGTGACGAGTACTGAGGATACGAAGAGGCAGGACGCATACGCAGGAATTAACAAGGTCAAGGTTTATTCAAACAATGACAAAGAGAATTAACAAAGAGAGAGAGTACATGACATGAAGCAAAAACAATTACACACAACATATTACAGAACAGTCCAGGGATAAATAGGGGTGGTGATAAGATGATGAGATGCAGGTGCACTGGAGGTGATTGGGGTGCGTTGGGTTTCCATTCCAGTCTTGCCGAGGTGGTACGCTCAGACCGGTGGCTCAGTAGACCGGCGAATCAGAGCGCCGGAGGGGAGCAACGGGAGGAGACATGACAGTACCCCCCCCCCCGGATGTGCGGCTCCAGCCGCTGGACGTTGCCAGCCAGGAGGACGACCCCGAGGACGAGGAGCGGGCCGGTCAGGGCGGCGACGGTGGAAGTACCGAATTAGATTGGGGTCCAGAACGTCCCCAGCCGGAACCCAGCTCCTCTCCTCAGGACCATACCCCTCCAGTCCACCAGGTAATAGAGCCGTCCCCCACGGAACCTGGAGGCCAGCAGGTCCCTCACCGCATACGCCGGACTCCCGTCAATATCCAGGGGTGGAGGAGGCGTACCCCGAGGGACGGCATCCGCCAGAGGACCAGGAACCACCAGCCTGAGGAGAGACACATGAAAAGTGGGTGAGACACGGTAGTGAGGGGGAAGGAGCAGCCGGTATGATACCTCATTTATCTGCCGGAGGACCTTAAACGGCCCCACAAACCGGTGGCTCAGTTTCTTGCAGGGCAGGCGGAGAGGGATGTTCTTTGTGGACAGCCAGGCATGATCCCCAGGCTGGAATACAGGGGCCTCACTGAGGTGGTGGTCGGCTTGGTCCTTCTGCCGACGAATAGCTCTCTGGAGATGGACATGGGTGGCGTTTCAGACCTGTCCAGCCCTGTGGAACCACTCGTCGACAGCGGGCGCATCGGTCTGGCTGGGTGTACAAGGGGCCAGGGAAGATAAGGAATAACCAGTAACCGTTATGGGAACTAAAAACAATGGTTTTGTGATAGGAGATGACGTCACACTCACGGAGCGACGACGGGGTCATACCGCCTACATAGGGAGCCGCCAGGAGATCTGTGTGCCACGGCGGGGTAGGGGGTGCTGCCCACCTCCATGGGTGAGGACTCGGAATCAGGGCGGCTTCCATAGCTTAGATGGGGTGAGCATTGAAGCTCTGGGAGGTGTTGGGAACGCTGTCTCTCTCGCAACAATTCGTCAAGACGGATGGACGTGGTGATAAGGGTATCAAGGTCCATCTCATCGTCCCGACATGCGAGTTCCGTCTTAATGTCCTCCCGTAAGCCTCTCCTGAAGGCTGTGCAGAGAGCACGCTCATTCCAGCCGGAAGACGCCGCCACTGTGCGAAAGCTCAGAGTGTACTCGGACGCGGGCCCCTCTCCCTGTTGTAGATGGAGGAGATGCTCACCCCCGTCCTTTCCCTCCATGGGATGATCAAACACCGCCCTGAACCGAGCGAGGAAGGTGGGGTAGGGTAGTGCCACTTCCTCCTCTCCTTCCCAGACTGCCGTGGCCCAATCCAGCGCCTTCCCCTTAAAAAGCAAAATCACCAGTGCTATCCTGGCTTGGTCAGATGGATATGCCCCAGGCTGATGCGCCAGATAAAGTGACAGTTGTAGCAGGAAGCCTCTACATTTAGTAGTTTTACCGTCAAAGCGCTCCGGTAGGGTGAGGGTTCCCGCAGAAGTGGGTGATAGCCCGAGGACAGATGGATTGGAGGCACTCGCCGCTCCCTGAGGTAGAACCAGAGTGCTGGGCAGATTATGCAGAGTTTGGAGTACTTCCTGCATGGCGACGTTCAACTGGGCAAGCTGATGCTGGTGCTGGTCGAGGGACTGGGAACCTCCTGCTGCATCCATTTTCGTTTGGTGTGTGATTCTGTGACGAATACTGAGGATACATTGAGGGAGGATGCAGACGCAGGAATTAACAAGGTCAAGGTTTACTCAAACAATGACAAAGAGAATTAACAAAGAGAGAGTACATGACACGAAGCAAAAACAATTACACACAACATATTACAGAACAGTCCAGGGCTAAATAGGGGTGGTGATGAGATGATGAGATGCAAGTGCGCTGGAGGTGTTTAGGGTGCGTTGGGTTTCCATTCCAGTGTTGCCGAGGTGGTGCGCTCAGACCGGTGGCTCAGTAGACCGGCGAATCAGAGCGCCAGAGGGGAGCAACGGGACGAGACGTGACAACACCCATTCAACATCGTTCACACCCTCTTAAGCCTTAGCCCCACCATCTCTTTAAGGATTCACATGTGAGGCCATGTGCTAAACACAATGAGTACGGTAGTGTACTAATTAACCAAAGATTTCAAGACTAAAGGCTGGTATATACTACGTTTATCGACATGTCTGTAGACAGTTGTCGCAGTGACATCATGAACATTCTATTGTCATCCGACATCCAATTTGTCATTGTCGTTATGAAAAAGTATAAACACAAAAACAACAGGCTGTATAAAATAGCATAACTGGTGTATTTTAACACAAATAAACCCATCCGTTTAAAAATCTATTTAGTATATGTCCATCTAGCAAACTAAAAGCAACTTTCTAAACAATGTTTTGGTTCGTTTCTAGCTTGTTAGCTAGCTAGCTAACGTTAAGTTAGCTGGCTGGCCAGTTCATATAATGACCATATCAGAGTATGACGAAATAAAAGCACAACATTTTACCGGAGAATTTTAGAACTTGGACACTGTCTCATTGGCCTAATGTTATATCCTAATTTGGCTTATGTGCAGGTTATGTTGTTCAACACATTACTGTCTCTGGTAAACACACGCTATATCAAATAAAATCGAAATGTATTTGTCACATGCACAGGTTACAGAAGGTGTAAATGGTAAAGAGAAATGGTTACTTGCATAGTGGAGTCTTTTGTTTAGACATGTAGCTAGCTAGCTAGCTAAACAATGAACCAAAATCCCAACTCATAACATTACTAGCCTGCATGAATCTGCAGGTAGCTAACCAACTAGGTTCAATGTTAGCTAGTTAGCTAGCTAGCTAACATTAGGCTATAGATAGTAATGCAAATGGATATGAGATACAAATAATATTACTACACAGATGATACATGTACTGTAATGTTAGCTAGCGAGCCAGCCAGCTAACATTAGCTAGCTAGCTAACAGTACACTTTAACTTGCAATAAAAATGACTTTCTGACAAAATTATAATAATATTTGAAAATATAGCTAGCTAAACTCTCTTACCTGTATACCTAGATGAACGCTTCTCCCTCTCTGTCACGGATGCCATGGTTGCCCTTAGTTTGAAGATGTAATCCGGAGACAGGTGTTTTATACAACAGTCTTCCGTGTGTTCTGTTTTCAACTCCCTCCGCATATTTGCAATCAAACGCCAGATTGTTCTCCAGCTCCTTAGCTATCATACTCTGCTTCCACCAGGCACTCCACTGATTTAAAAACTCGGTCCTTCAGATAGTGGAGAGCAACACTTTTGCAGTTCTTCGTGATATATTTTTTAAAAAGCTGCGTTAGAAAGGATGACCTACACGTACTGAGCAGCTCATGTTATAGACAGAAGCGTGCTACATGGCAGACCAATGCAAACTCATCTCTCGACCAGCCCATCCATTATCTCAGCCAATCATGGCTAGCGGGAAGGTTCCTGTCTTTATCCGTGGCTAAACCAACTAGGCTCGTAAATTAACCATTTTATTTGTATTTAAAGATGGCATACAAGTTTGTTATTAAGTCACATGAAAGTTCACATGTTCCAGAAGGCAATTCTGCCAAAAAAACACATTTTGATAAAGAAACTAGTTTACTGCGCTTCAAATGCTCTCTGCTGAAGGTGACGTCACGCACCCAATCAGTTCTGCCGCATCCTGTTTCACGATCTAGGGAGGTTCTGCTACCGTGTCACAACTAGCCATTTTAACATGTATTGTTTTAGTGGCTCAAGTTTGTATAGTCTGAATTACTGTTTTACTCTCTCCAACTTTCTGCTTCAACAGGAATCAGTTACTTCAAATCCCTCCTGGAAGTGTCACCACACGACATACGCCATAGTTTCTGAATCTACCGATGGAGTTGCAGCTGAGACAAGCATTAAAGGGTATTTGTGACTGATTGGTCATCTACTATGATCACTGTTTACTCCCTCATTGTCTGCTGGCTCTCTTCACATCCCCTACTAGTTCGCTCTCTCTTATCTCCTCGTTTCCCATCCCACAGCTATCTGGTCTCTCCTCTGGACTCTCTTCTTCTCTCTCCTCTCAGTCGGTAGCTCGCTCTCATCTCTTCTTCGTCGTCGAAGATCAGAGCTCGATCTCGTCAGCTCGTCCGATCGTCTCTCTCGTCTCTCGACTGTATATGCTCGTCTCTCTCTGCTCTCGCTCTCTCGTCTTCTCTCTCTCCTCCTCTCTTCTCTCTCTCTCTCTCTCTCTCCTTCTCTCTCTCTGCCTGGTTGTTAAAGTACAACAGTTAATCATATAAAACATACAGATTTTCTTCTTTATCTCTGGGCCAATTCCATGCAATTTTTCCTGTGCTTTGGGTGTGACTGTTATATTTATCAAAGTTTGACCTCACATTTGAGTAAAATCTTTCAGACATCTGTATCTTAAAAATGTCTGTATGTGTGCACGTGCGTGTTTCAGTGCTGGGGAGGAGTGGACAGAGAATGTAGAGACCTATGACTCAAGTTTCTACAAGAGGACTCTGGATAACGACATCTATATTTTCACTGCTCCATACTTCAACAGTATGTTAACACACACCGAAACACACACGTGCAAGCACACACACACCCTCTCTTCAGTGTGGTCTGCCAGCAAATCCCTCTCTTAGGATGGACGGCCTGCTCTACTGGATAGGATAAGAGATGAGAGGCCTTCTAGTCCCCCTCTCTCTCTACTTCGTTTCTGTGCTGCTCACTCTCATCTCTCTATCCACCCCCCTCTTCTGTCCCTCCCCTTTCTTTTCCCTCGCTCCCCCTCTCTCTACTCACTATTTTAACGTAGTTCTTTATCTAACAATCTCTGCTACTTTCCACTCCCCCTCTCTATATGTCCCTGTGGTATAGCAACAATCTATATACCATATCTCAGAGTTAAAGCACTCTACTGCTATATGTGCTTCTACTGCACAGCCACAAACATATTATTACCATTTACCCAGTTAAATGAGGACCAAACAAACAAAGATTATATATTTTATCATAATTGTTGTCATGAAACATGATTTTCACCAAATGGGTTTTTAAAGCCTCACACAATTAATGTCATTGTCATACAAGTGTCACTACATGTGAATGTGTTGACACTCTTCCCTCTGCTCTCCCTCCCTCTCCCTGCTGCAGAGAGCAGGGAGTCAGGCTATGAGTCAGGTATTCTGGTGAGCAAGGCTGTACACCTCAACATAGACAGAGTCAACCTCAAACCAGCGGGTGAGTGGATAATACTGTCCCCATCTCCTTAGCTGGGTGCTTAGTTGTTGCATTGGGTACTTCTGAATTAAAACTGACAGCCTGGAGAATTAGATGAAACATCCATAGCTCCTTCTGTAAAGGATTATTCAATAATATGTTTCTGAATATCCTTTTTGTTGTTTCAATGTCCTGTAGTGGTGGGAGTGAAACTGAACGTCTCTGCCTGGATGAACAGCTTCATGAACGCCACCATGAAAGTCAACGTAAGAGAAACACTTTCTCTAGTTTAGGATTTCTTATTCACATCCCATTGTGTTTGCTAAACTTGTGACCATTCATACATGTGTTTTGATGACGTTTGCAGTGCAAGGATGAAATCTGTGGCTGTCTGAAGAATGATAAGGTACAATGGCCTATCTCACTTATGGAAAATCTTTAGAAATGTTGATAATGTTCTATACTGACTGATGTTCTCTTTCTATCTGTCTCTCTCTCTCTGCAGCATGTTGACTGTGTCATCCTGGATGATGGAGGCTTCCTGCTGATGTCCAATCAGGATGAGTATATCACTCAGGTGAGTCTCTGTCAGCTAATCAGATTGCTCTGTCACAGACATGTACATTTGTCCTACCAGAGCAGGGTCAACTTTCTTTCTTTCTGTCTTTATGTCTGTCTGTCTGTCTGTCTGTCTGTCTGTCTGTCTGTCTGTCTGTCTGTCTGTCTGTCTGTCTGTCTGTCTGTCTGTCTGTCTGTCTGTCTGTCTGTCTGTCTGTCTGTCTGTCTGTCTGTCTGTCTGTCTGTCTGTCTGTCTGTCTGTCTGTCTGTCTGTCTGTCTGTCTGTCTGTCTGTCTGTCTGTCTGTCTGTCTGTCTGTCTGTCTGTCTGTCTGTCTGTCTGTCTGTCTGTCTGCCTGCCTGCCTGCCTGCCTGCCTGCCTGCCTGCCTGCCTGCCTGCCTGCCTGCCTGCCTGCCTGCCTGCCTGCCTGCCTGCCTGCCTGCCTGCCTGCCTGCCTGCCTGCCTGCCTGCCTGCCTGCCTGCCTGCCTGCCTGCCTGCCTGCCTGCCTGCCTGCCTGCCTGCCTGCCTGCCTGCCTGCCTGCCTGCCTGCCTGCCTGCCTGCCTGCCTGCCTGCCTGCCTGCCTGCCTGCCTGCCTGCCTGCCTGCCTGCCTGCCTGCCTGCCTGCCTGCCTGCCTGCCTGCCTGCCTGCCTGCCTGCCTGCCTGCCTGCCTGCCTGCCTGCCTGCCTGCCTGCCTGCCTGCCTGCCTGCCTGCCTGCCTGCCTGCCTGCCTGCCTGCCTGTCTGTCTGTCTGTCTGCCTGCCTGCCTGCCTGCCTGCCTGCCTGCCTGCCTGCCTGCCTGCCTGCCTGCCTGCCTGCCTGCCTGCCTGCCTGCCTGCCTGCCTGCCTGCCTGCCTGCCTGCCTGCCTGCCTGCCTGCCTGCCTGCCTGCCTGCCTGCCTGCCTGCCTGCCTGCCTGCCTGCCTGCCTGCCTGCCTGCCTGCCTGCCTGCCTGCCTGCCTGTCTGTCTGTCTGTCTGGTAGGTTTCCCGGACCTAGACTAAGCCTTGTCCTGGACTAAAAACATGGTCAATGGAGAGGATTAGGTTTAATTTGGGTCTGGGAAACTGGCCCTTATAAAATTTGTTGACCTGTGTTTTTAGCTAACTCCTCTGACAAGCCAGATAAGATTTTCTTGTCTGTTTCCACAGACATTTCCTTTGTGTCTCTAAAACTCATTAATACCAATGTCATATCATGTTTGGCATGACAACAAACACAACAGAGTCTTTAAAGCACAGATCTAAGCGATAATGGCTCCATAGCATCTACAGTATTCTGAAGTTAGTAGAACATACACCCATAGTCCCGAAGCCAAGACACTCCTTTTGGAATGAGAACTAAAAGGTTTTCATTGGTTTGGCTGGCCACCAGATCTCTTCTCCTGCTCCTCTCTCCATCCCTGCTTCATCTGATCTTTTTTCAAATGTATTTTATTGAACCTTTATTTAACAGGGAGTCATGCTGAGACCATGGTCTCTTTCGCAGATGAGCCCTGCATGAACACATCAATAAACAACAAGGACATTCTACATACAGTATCTACAGTATATTTACATCAATTACACAATACATGAAAAGCAAACACGAAAAGCAAAACACAATCAAATAAAACAAACACATTCTTCAGTACAAAGGCCCTCTAACATCCGCATGAATTGCCCTAGAGGCACCAACTTCATCAACTTTAAGGACTTTTGGAGATCCTTCCACATGAGAGGTAAAAAAAAAAGTAAAAGCAGATTTACCTAAATTGACGGGATCTCCAGGGTTAGCCATCCCAGAGTCTGGGTCTGGTAACTTACACGTCTGAAGGTTAACAATGAGGTAAGGTATGGCAGAAGTTTATGCAAGAGGGCTTTATTGACAACAAAATGTGCAATGCATCGATCAACAGCAGGGTTGGGCAACTTTGATGGGTGTGGGGTCCACAAAAAAACGGAATTTATCATTGGGGGCCGCAGTGGCTCGCGGGTCTGCGTGCCCACATCCATACCCACACATGTAGTCAAAGCCGGCCCTAGCTTTTTGGGGACCCTAAGCGAAATATCGTTTCCCCCACCTTGCTATCAAACATTTTAGCGAAAACATTTTCTGCAACTCTATACATTTAGCCATGGGGCGTAGAGAACATTTACAAAAAAAGTTTGCTACAAATCTATACATTTTGCCATGGGGGTGAGTGAGAGAAGATTTATCAATTTTATAACTTATTTCATGCAATTCTACACATTTTGCCATAGAGGGTGGGGAGAAATCAATCCAGATGCCCAGATATTTATAAGCGGGGACATGATCAATGAGAGCACCATCCAAAGAATGTATGCATAAATGATCAGATACATTTTTATGTGATTTGGAATGTAACATATAGGTGAGTGGGATAAGTTGAGCCAAAGGGGTAAGATGAGTCCCTTGTTTCAGGAAACTAGGCATATGTCACGTGTCACTACTTCACATGAGAGGAATTTGAAGGTAAAGATGTATTTCTTTATCAAAATAAATTTTTGGGGGGCAAAAATGCCTTCTGGAACATTTGAACTTTCATGTACCTTAATAACAAATTGTATGCCATCTGTAAATATGAATACAATTGTTAAATTACGCACCTAGTTGGTTTAACTGTGGTCCTCTGTAGCTCAGCTGGTAGAGCACGGCGCTTGTAACGCCAAGGTAGTGGGTTCGATCCCCGGGACCACACAAAAATGTATGCACGCATGACTGTAAGTCGCTTTGGATAAAAGCGTCTGCTAAATGGCATATTATTATTATTATTATTAACCACAGAAAAAGACAGGAACCTTCCCGCTAGCCATGATTGGCTGAGATAATGGCTGGGCTGGGCATGCCGAGAGAAATATAAAAAACGGAAATATCACATTTACATAAGTATTCCGACCATTTACTCAGTACTTTGTTGAAGCACCTTTGGCAGTGATTATAGCCTAGAGTCTTCTGGGTATGACGCTACAAGCTTGGCACACCTGTATTTGGGGAGTTTCTCCCATTCTTCTCTGCAGATCCACTCAAGTTCTGTCAGGTTGGATGGGGAGCGTCGCTGCACAGCTATTTTCAGGTCTCTCCAGAGATGTCCGATTGGGTTCAAGTCCGGGCTCTGGCTGGGCCACTCAAGGACATTCAGAGACTTGTCCCGAAGCCACTCCTGCATTGTCTTGCCTGTGTGCTTAGGCTTGTTGTCCTGTTGGAAGGTGAACCTTCGCCCCAGTCTGAGGTCCTGAGCACTCTGGAGCAGGTTTCACTTTGTCATTATGGGGTATTGTGTGTAGATTGATGAGGAAAACAAATAATTTAATCAATTGTAGAATAAGGCTGTAACGTTACAAAATGTGGAAAAGTGAAGGGGTCTGAATACTTTCCGAATGCACTGTAGGTAGGGGTAAAGTGACTAGGCAACAGGATAGATAATAGACAGTAGCAGCAGCATATGTGATGAGTGTGGAAGTGTGTGTGTTTGGCGAAATTGTGCCTGTGTGTACATGTTATGTGTGAGTGAGTGAGTGAGTGTGTGTGTGTGTGTGTGTGTATGTGTTGGAGTGTCAGTGTAAGTATGTGTGAGTGTGTGGGTAGAGTCTAGTGTGTGTGCATAGTCAAAAAGGGTTAGTGCAAAAAGGGTCAATGCAGATAGTCCGGGTAGCTATTTGGTTAACTATTTAGCAATCGTATGGCTTGGGGGTAGAAGCTGTTCAGGAGCAATTTGGTCCCAGACTTAACGCTCTGGTACCGTTTGCCATGCGGTAGCAGTGAGAACATTCTATGACTTGGGTGGCTGGTGTCTTTGACACATTTTTGGGCTGTCCTCTGACACCACCTGGTCTAGAGGTCCTGGATGGCAGTGAGTTCGACCACCAATGATGTACTGGGCCGTACGTACTACTCTCTGTAGCGCCTTGCGGTTGGAAGCATTTGCTATATCAAGTGGTGATGCAGCCAGTCAAGATGCTCTCAATGGTGCAGCTGTAGAAATATTTGAGGATCTGAGGGCCCATGCCAAATCTTTTCAGCCTCCTGTGGGGGAAGAGGCGTTGTCGTGCCCTCTTCATGACTGTGTTGGTGTGTTTGGACCATGATAGGTCCTTAGCGATGTGGACACAAAGGAACTTGAAGCTATCGACACGCTCCACTATAGCCCGGTCGATGTGAATGTGTTGCCTACCCTTACCACCTGGGGGAGGCCCGTCAGGAAGTCCAGGATCCAGTTGCAGAGGGAGGTGTTCAGTCCCAGGGACCTTAGCTTAGTGATGAGCTTGGAGGACACTATGGTGTTGAATGCTGAGCTGTAGTCTATGAACATCATTCTCACATAGGTGTTCATTTTGTCCAGGTGGGAAATGGTAGTGTGGAGTGCAATTGAGATTGTGTTATCTGTGGATTTGTTTGGGTGGTATGCGAATTGCAGTGGGTCCAGTGTTTCTGGGATGATGGTGTTGATGTGAGCCATGACCAGCCTTTCAAAGCGCACACATTGAACGCAGCTCTCTGTTCCCTGTACACAGATAGGTCAGTTCTTTGGGGAGGTGGACCCAGTCGTGATGATCAGTCTGGTCAACATGTCTCTGTATTCCTTCAACAAGATTTACGACTACCAGTCAGTCTGCGACCCTGAGAGAGACTGCAAGGCTGCTGCAGGGCCACGATCTGTCTACGTGGTGAGACACACACTCACAGCGCGCGCGCGCGCGCACACACACAGCACACACACACATTAATGCATTAATGCATGATCTTGCTTTGGTTACCTTTCATGCTATATATACTGTACTGTATGTGTATATTCTGTCCATATGTTATGAAGTGTGCACTCAGTGCTCTTCTCCTCTCCCCTCTCCAGCCCACTATAGCAGACATGTTGAGTATAGGCTGGTGGGCCTCCACTGCTGCCTGGTGAGTTAATGGACTGGGTAATTTAACTACTGTCGTCTGCTGTTTAGACCAACAATAATGTATTTGTCTCTGTAGGTTGATAATGCAGCAGCTCTTCTACAGTCTCATATTCCCCAGCTTCCTAGAGGCAGGTGAGTTGTAGAGGACAATATATTGGATGTAATTATGTGTTTCCAAAACAGTGAATTTGTAGTTATAATGGTACAAGATGTGCCTAAAATGGCTTTGTTGATTTAGAGAATATACAGTGCATTCGGAAAGAATTCAGACCCCTTCACTTTCTCCACATTTTGTTATGTTATAGCCTTAATCTAAAATGTATTAAAGAAAAAAATGTCCTCATCAATCTATACACAATACCCCATAATGACAAAGCAAACACAGGTTTTTAGAATTTTTTGCAAATGTATTACAAAAAAACTACGGAAATACCATATTTATATAGGTATTCAGACTGATTTGGAAAGGACCACACCTGTCAATATAAGGTGCCACAGTTGACAGTGCATGTCAGAGCAAAAACCAAGCCATGAGGTCAAAGGAAATGTCCGTAGAGCTCCGAGACAGCATTGTGTCGAGGCACAGATCTGGGGAAGGGTACGAAAAGTATCTGCAGCATTGAAGGTCCCCAAGAACACAGTGGCTTCCATCATTCTTAAGTGGAAGAAGTTTGGAACCATCAAGACTCTTGCTAGAGCTGGCAGCCCGGCCAAACTGAGCAATCGGTGGAGAAGGGCATTGAACCCGATGGTCACTCTGACAGAGCTCCAGAGTTCCTCTGTGTAGATGGGAGAACCTTCCAGAAGGACAACCATCTCTGCAGCACTCCACCAATCAGGCCTTCATGATAGAGTGGCCAGATGGAAGCCACTCCTCAGTAAAAGGCACATGACAGCCTGCTTGGAGTTTACCAAAAAGGCACCTAAAGGACTCAAGATTCTCTGGTCTGATGAAACCAAGATTGAACTCTCTAGCCTGAATGCCAAGCATCACATCTGGAGGAAACAAGGCATCACCTGGCCAATACCATCCCTACGGTGAAGCATGGTGGTGGCAGCATCATGCTGTGGGGATGTTTTTCAGCAGCAGGGACTGGGAGATTAGTCAGGATCGAGGGAAAGATGAACGGAGCAAAGTACAGAGAAATCCTTGATGAAAACCTGCTCCAGAGCACTCAGGACCTCAGACTGGGGCAAAGGTTCACCTTCTTACAGGACAACAACCCTAAGCACACAGCCAAGACAAGGCAGGAGTGGCGTCGGGACAAGTCTCTGAATGTCCTTGAGTGATCCAGCCAGAGCCCGGACTTGAACCCGATCTAACGTCTCTGGAGAGACCTGAAAATAGCTGTGCAGCGACGCTCCCCATCCAACCTGACAGAGCCTGAGAGGATCTGCAGAGAAGAATGAGAGAAACTCCCCAAATACAGGTGTGCCAAGCTTGTAGCGTCATACCTAAGATGACTCGAGGCTGTAATCGCTGCCAAAGGTGCTTCAACAAAGTACTGAGTAAAGGGTCTGAATACTTATGTAAATGTATATTTTTCAGTTAATTTTGCAAAAAAATCTAAAAGCCTGTTTTTGCTTTGTCATTATCGGGTATTGTGTGTAGATTGATGGGGGGGAAAACAATGTAATCCATTTTAGAATAAGGCTGCAACGTAACAACATGTGGAAAAAGTGAAGGGGTCTGAATACTTTCCGAATGCACTGTATCCTTGGGCTTAGGACTATTTATTTGGAGGAGATGTAAGCACAGATGTGTTTGGTTTGCTTGTTTGTTTATTGTGTTTTTGGTTATGTAGTCTCTCTCTCTCTCTCTCTCTCTCTCTCTCTCTCTCTCTCTCGTGGACTCAGATGATGACATGTCTGCTAACATGTTTAAGGAGAGTTGTATCACAGAGCAGACTCAGTACTTCTTTGACAACGAAGAGAGATCCTACTCGGGAGTCCTCGACTGTGGAAACTGCTCCAGGTGTGTGTGTGTGTGTGTGTGTGTAAGTGATGTCGATTCCAATATCCTGACTCTTTCCTGGATAATAGCTTGCAGTGGGCAGTAATATTTGAAATGTGTATATACAGTATATTTGATATTTTATACAACAGGTGTGTCTAATCCTGAATGCTGATTGGATAAAACCGCATTCCAGACAGTGTCTATTCCACAAGTTACCACCGGCTAAATCTATGACACTGAAATGCCTATTTACTCTGTTCCATCTGACTGCACAATCCACTATCTCATCAGCCCAGCCAGACAATTATATAAACTTGTTCTCCACTACAAAAAGCATCTAGACTTTATCTCACATTTCTTTTAGACTAACATTTAGTTTTCAACAGCGAAGATTTCTATAAACCTTGCTGTCTGTCTCTCCGAAATTTGCAACATTGTTTCAAAATTCAAATTCGATCTCCAGCTGTTGCATAGTAATGAACATGTCTGAAGTTGGAATGAGACAGACAGGCAGGTTTTATCAGCCAGTCGAAATCATGAATTAGTATAATTTGTAGGGATATATACAAACAAATATCAATAGAAAACAGGTCAAACGAAATGAAGTGCAGCTAGTTTGCAGTCTTTCAGTTTGAAGTGTTTGTGCTAGCTGTTTTGTTGGCTAGCTCTGAACAACAGTGTCCTGATAAGAGAGCAATATTTTTTTGCCTGGTGAAATCGCGCATCATTAGCTCAATGTTATGGATGTATCCAAATAAATGTCACTAGAAAACATATTATGCAAATGAAGCTATTTGTTGTTATTCTGGCTGGACTGTTTGACGTGTCTGTAAGTTAGCCGTAGTTGGCTAGCAAGCAAGCAAGGAATGAGAACGTTGCCAGCCAGTTTGTCAATAGAACATTTAGAACGAATGACTGTTGGTAGAAATGCAGTGGGTACAGTGGGGAAAAAAATTATTTAGTCAGCCACCAATTGTGCAAGTTCTCCCACTTAAAAATATGAGAGAGGCCTGTAATTTTCATCATAGGTACACGTCAACTATGACAGACAAATTGAGAAAAAAAATCCAGAAAATGACATTGTAGGATTTTTTATGAATTTATTTGCAAATTATGGTGGAAAATAAGTATTTGGTCACCTACAAACAAGCAAGATTTCTGGCTCTCACAGACCTGTAACTTCTTCTTTAAGAGGCTCCTCTGTCCTCCACTCGTAACCTGTATTAATGGCACCTGTTTGAACTTGTTATCAGTATAAAAGACACCTGTCCACAACCTCAAACAGTCACACTCCAAACTCCACTATGGCCAAGACCAAAGAGCTGTCAAAGGACACCAGAAACAAAATTGTAGACCTGCACCAGGCTGGGAAGACTGAATCTGCAATAGGTAAGCAGCTTGGTTTGAATAAATCAACTGTGGGAGCAATTATTAGGAAATGGAAGACATACAAGACCACTGATAATCTCCCTCGATCTGGGGCTCCACGCAAGATCTCACCCCGTGGGGTCAAAATGATCACAAGAACGGTGAGCAAAAATCCCAGAACCACACGGGGGGACCTAGTGAATGACCTGCAGAGAGCTGGGACCAAAGTAACAAAGCCTACCATCAGTAACACACTACGCCGCCAGGGACTCAAATCCTGCAGTGCCAGACGTGTCCCCCTGCTTAAGCCAGTACATGTCCAGGCCCGTCTGAAGTTTGCTAGAGTGCATTTGGATGATCCAGAAGAGGATTGGGAGAATGTCATATGGTCAGATGAAACCAAAATATAACTTTTTGGTAAAAACTCAACTCGTCGTGTTTGGAGGACAAAGAATGCTGAGTTGCATCCAAAGAACACCATACCTACTGTGAAGCATGGGGGTGGAAACATCATGCTTTGGGGCTGTTTTTCTGCAAACGGACCAGGACGACTGATCCGTGTAAAGGAAAGAATGAATGGGTCACGTATCGTGAGATTTTGAGTGAAAACCTCCTTCCATCACCAAGGGCATTGAAGATGAAACGTGGCTGGGTCTTGCAGCATGACAATGATCCCAAACACACCGCCCGGGCAACGAAGGAGTGGCTTCGTAAGAAGCATTTCCAGGTCCTGGAATGGCCTAGCCAGTCTCCAGATCTCAACCCCATAGAAAATCTTTGGAGGGAGTTGAAAGTCCGTGTTGCCCAGCGACAGCCGCAAACATCACTGCTCTAGAGGAGATCTGCATGGAGGAATGGGCCAAAATACCAGCAACAGTGTGTGAAAACCTTGTGAAGACTTACAGAAAACGTTTGACCTGTGTCATTGCCAACAAAGGGTATATAACAAAGTATTGAGAAACTTTTGTTATTGACCAAATACTTATTTTCCACCATAATTTGCAAATAAATTCATTAAAAATCCTACAATGTGATTTTCAGGATTTTTTTTTCTCACTTTGTCTGTCATAGTTGACGTGTACCTATGATGAAAATTACAGGCCTCTCTCATCTTTTTAAGTGGGAGAACTTGCACAATTGGTAGCTGACTAAATACTTTTTTCCCCCATTGTATATGAGCCCCATGCGCCTGACTTTTTTCTCTTCAATATTAACAAGTAAAGACACTTAGATACAGAACAAAAATACTTAACGACTGGGTCGCATCTCTGGCAACGGAACTGATAGAACGAACGACCAGCCGGCTTGGGTAGTAACCCTAGATTGGTGTCGGGACTATATCTTGTGGATGGTATAGTATGAATAAATTCATAAAAATAACATTTTTAATGAAAATATGTAAATCATTATTTGAATGTGTTGGTAACACGTTGCATAAAAGTGATAATGCCCTCGAAGCCGGTGTTTGTAGGATATATTGGCATGGTTTGCCTAACAACACCCATGCCATTAAATCTTCCAAACACCAGCTCCTCTGGCATTATCACTTAAATAAATACCTCACATGGGATTTTTTAATTAATTTTTTGTCATTTAGCAGACGCTCTTATCCAGAGCGACTTACAGTTAGTGAGTGCATACATTTTTCATACTGGCCCCCCGTGGGAAACAAACCCACAACCCTGGCATTGCAAGCGCCATGCTCTACCAACTGAGCTACAGGGGACTTGTAATGAGACTAAGCAATTAGCCTATTAAAATGTTTATCTGACTCCATAAAGATAATTAAAATATACAAGCAAGCATTAGGCAATTAGTTGACGTTGACTAGCAAGAGTTGGTCTGAGAATTGTCTATATCAAAGGCAGATATTTAATGAACATTGTACAATGAATAGCATAAAGCTTAAGTTACAAAGCATTAACAAGCATAACAAGGCATTATTCTAAGCATGTAGATCCTAAGGTTAACCTACAGGACAAAGTACAGTGGGGGAAAAAAGTATTTAGTCAGCCACCAATTGTGCAAGTTCTCCCACTTAAAAAGATGAGAGAGGCCTGTAATTTTCATCATAGGTACAAGTCAACTATGACAGACAAAATGAGGAGAAAAAATCCTGAAAATCACATTGTAGGATTTTTAATGAATTTATTTGCAAATTATGGTGGAAAATAAGTATTTGGTCACCTACAAACAAGCAAGATTTCTGGCTCTCACAGACCTGTAAGTTCTTCTTTAAGAGGCTCCTCTGTCCTCCACTCGTTACCTGTATTAATGGCACCTGTTTGAACTTGTTATCAGTATAAAAGACAACTGTCCACAACCTCAAACAGTCACACTCCAAACTCCACTATGGCCAAGACCAAAGAGCTGTCAAAGGACACCAGAAACAAAATTGTAGACCTGCACCAGGCTGGGAAAACTGAATCTGCAATAGGTAAGCAGCTTGGTTTGAAGAAATCAACTGTGGGAGCAATTATTAGGAAATGGAAGACATACAAGACCACTGATAATCTCCCTCGATCTGGGGCTCCACGCAAGATCTCACCCCGTGGGGTCAAAATGATCACAAGAACGGTGAGCAAAAATCCCAGAACCACACGGGGGGACCTAGTGAATGACCTGCAGAGAGCTGGGACCAAAGTAACAAAGCCTACCATCAGTAACACACTACGCCGCCAGGGACTCAAATCCTGCAGTGCAAGACGTGTCCCCCTGCTTAAGCCAGTACATGTCCAGGCCCGTCTGAAGTTTGCTAGAGTGCATTTGGATGATCCAGAAGAGGATTGGGAGAATGTCATATGGTCAAATGAAACCAAAATATAACTTTTTGGTAAAAACTCAACTCGTCGTGTTTGGAGGACAAAGAATGCTGAGTTGCATCCAAAGAACACCATACCTACTGTGAAGCATGGGGGTGGAAACATCATGCTTTGGGGCTGTTTTTCTGCAAAGGGACCAGGACGACTGATCCGTGTAAAGGAAAGAATGAATGGGGCCATGTATCGTGAGATTTTGAGTGAAAACCTCCTTCCATCAGCAAGGGCATTGAAGATGAAACGTGGCTGGGTCTTTCAGCATGACAATGATCCCAAACACACCGCCCGGGCAACGAAGGAGTGGCTTCGTAAGAGGCATTTCAAGGTCCTGGAGTGGCCTAGCCAGTCTCCAGATCTCAACCCCATAGAAAATCTTTGGAGGGAGTTGAAAGTCCGTGTTGCCCAGCGACAGCCCCAAAACATCACTGCTGTAGAGGAGATCTGCATGGAGGAATGGGCCAAAATACCAGCAACAGTGTGTGAAAACCTTGTGAAGACTTACAGAAAACGTTTGACCTGTGTCATTGCCAACAAAGGGTATATAACAAAGTATTGAGAAACTTTTGTTATTGACCAAATACTTAATTTCCACCATAATCTGCAAATAAATTCATTAAAAATCCTACAATGTGATTTTCAGGATTTTTTTTTCTCATTTTGTCTGTCATAGTTGACGTGTACCTATGATGAAAATTACAGGCCTCTCTCATCTTTTTAAGTGGGAGAACTTGCACAATTGGTGGCTGACTAAATACTTTTTTTCCCCACTGTATATCAACTGGCTTACCTGGTTAAATAAAGGTTAAATATAAAATAAAAAACAGGACAAAGCATGAACAAAGAGATGATTACTAGGCCAGAGGCCTAGAAGCCTAGGAAATGAGAACTGGTCATACAAAGGCATTTAATTTCATTTATAACAGGTAGCTTAGTGGGTAAGAGCATTGTGCCAGTAACCGAAAGGTCGCTGGTTCTAATCCCCGAGCCGACTAGGTGAAAAATCTGTCGATGTGCCCTTGAGCAAGGCACTTAACCCTAATTGCTCCTGTAAGTCGCTCTGGATAAGAGCGTCTGCTAAATAAAAAAAATATAAATATAAAATATATAACATCTGAAGCTGTAACCTTTCTACCCAAAACCAACCACCATTGACCAATCAAATGATACCAAGTTTACAGTAACCTAAACACTCCCAGGCCCAATCTCCACAGGGTGTCACAGCATTTAAAGGCTTGTGTGGGAGATGAGACCAATGTAAATAAGACAGAATTCCTGAGAGGACCATACAACCATTTTGCATGTAGTAATTCAGAGTTCACCCTATACAAATACAAGGAACCACAGAGATCATACATACAGTACCAGTTAAAAGTTTGGAAACACCTACTCATTACAGGGTTTTACTTTCTTTTTTACGATTTTCTACATTGTAGAATAATAGTGAAGACATCAAAACTATGAAATAACACATACGGAAAAATGTAGTAACCAAAAAAGTGTAAAACAAAACAAAATATATTTTACATTTGAGATTCTTCAAAGTAGCCACCCTTTGCCTTGATGACAGCTTTGCACACTCTTGGCATTCTCTCAACCAGCTTCACGAGGTAGTCACCTGGAATGCATTTCAATTAACACGTGTGCCTTGTTAAAAGTTAATTTGTGGAATTTCTTTCCTTCTTAATGCGTTTGAGCCAATCAGTTGTGTTGTGACAAGGTAGGGGTGGTACACAGAAGATAGCCCTATTTGGTAAAAGACCAAGTCCATAATATGGCAAGAACAGCTCAAATAAGCAAAGAGAAATGACAGTCCATCATTACTTTAAGACATGAAGGTCAGTCAATCCGGAAAATTTCAAGAACTTTGAAAGTTTCTTCAAGTGCAGTCACAAAAACCATCAAGCGCTATGATGAAACTGGCTCTCACGAGGACCGCCACAGGAATACCCAGAGTTACCTCTTCTGCAGAGGATAAGTTCATTAGAGTTATCAGCCTCAGCAATTGCAGCCCAAATAAATACTTCACAGTGTTCAAGTAACAGACACATCTCAACATCAACTGTTCAGAGGAGACTGCATGAATTAGGCCTTCATGGTCGAATTGCTGCAAAGAAACCACTACTAAAGGACACCAATAAGAAGAAAAGACTTGCTTGGGCCAAGAAACACGAGCAGTGGACATTAGACCGGTGGAAATCTGTCCTTTGGTCTGATAAATCCAAATTTGAGATGTTTGGTTCAAACCGCCGTGTCTTTGTGAGACGCAGAGTAGGTGAACGGATGATCTCTGCATGTATGGTTCCCACCGTGAAGCATGGAGGAGGAGGTGTGGGGGTGCTTTGCTGTTGACACTGTCAGTGATTTATTTACAATTCAAGGCATTCTGCAGCGATACGCCATCCCATCTGGTTTGCGCTTAGTGGGACTATCATTTGTTTTTCAACAGGACAGTGACCCAACACACCTCCAGGCTGTGTAAGGGCTATTTGACCAAGAAGGAGAGTGATGGAGTGCTGCATCAGATTACCTGGCCTCCACAATCACCTGACCTCAACCCAATTGAGATGATTTGGGATGAGTTGGACCACAGAGTGAAGGAAAAGCAGCCAACAAGTGCTCAGCAAATGTAGGAACTCCTTCAAGACTGTTGGAAAAGCATTCCAGGTGAAGCTGGTTGAGAGAATGCCAAGAGTGTGCAAAGCTTTTATCAAAGCAAAGGGTGGTTACTTTCAAGAATCTAAATATAAAATATATTTTGATTTGTTTTGATGTCTTTACTTTATTCTACAATGTAGAATATAGTAAAAATAAAGAAAAACCCTTGAATGAGTAGGTGTGTCCAAACTTTTGACTGGTACTGTACATATAGATAGCATAAAAGTTATCCTCAGTGAACCAGTTTCAGATAGATACCATACATGGATACTATTCTATTATTATATCCCATTCAATATTCAGTGCTCTGAATACTGTAACAGAGAGATTTACATTTTGGCACCTCAGAGAGGGAAGGGCTGACTAGTCCTTGGGCATTGTCCTTTGTTCCTGGACCATTTGCCTTGCAACTCCAGGTATCAAAGAGCACATAAATTAGGGCCGAGCCTACAAGCCGATCCCGGTATGTCATCCTCTGGTGAGGTAGATCCGGAATGGGGTCAGTTTCCTGCCCTCCTCTGTGTTTTCCTGCTCTTTCCAGGCAGCTGCTGCCGGCTGGGCTCTGAACAGACACATATTACAAAGATCTGTCAGGAGCTTGACACAGAGGGAAACACTGTTTACTGAGAGCTCTCTCCCAATCATTTACCCCTGTGTATGTGTTGCAACTCACACATGGTGTGGGGGTTGAATGTTGGTAGAAATGCAGTGGGTATATGAGCCCCATTCGCCTGACTTTGTTCTCTTCAATGTTAACAACTAAAGACACTTAAACTTGAATGAGTGCCATAAAGAAAGAGCCATTCCACAGACGGAGAGGGTTTCTCCACTGCCCTGTAGTATGTGTGTGATTTAGTATTGGCTGTGTGTATGTCTGAACCACATATATATCACCACGGTAGCGCATGTGTGTGATGATGCGGGCGGCAGGAACGGACAGCTTTTATAGTTTACTCTCATCTGAGACAGTTGAAGAACATGTTGTGTGAAAGCTTTGTTAGTCTGTTGGGAGTGTGTTTCCCTGTGTGTTCGGGTTGGAATCTGGTAGAGCTGTCTCTCCGGCTCTCTGCTGGAATAAAAGTGAATTCCATTGAAGGAATAATAGGGTATTCCAATGAATGGAAGTGCAGTGGTGTGTATTCATGGATGCCAAGGGAAGCCAGGCTTCCCCAAATAAAATACAAATATTTTAAAAAATGTATCTTTCGTCTCTCTGTTTCATAGTTTTCCTTCAATTGGCAAGTGGCTTTCTCAACTGAGAAATCATCAGAGCGAGGGTAACAGTGCCCCTGTGTCTCAGTATGTGTAGCCCATGTATCTGATGCTATCTGGTCAAAAAAATAGTATGACATGTTGGCATGTTGCCGCCGGTAGCATTGAATTCAATTGCAAGTGATGCCAGATAGCATTTGGCCTCCCTTGATAATTTTTTAAATAAAATAATAACCAATCCGCATTGATCTGAGCTGAGTGAGCTCAACTGTGAATGGTCCTCGCACAGCAAAAAAATAAAATATGTCAAGGAAGGCCAGTTTGGATTTGACTCCCCACCAATCAAATCACACCAAAGCAAAACGTAATTGTTAGCTTCTGGTCTGTGTCATTGTCCTGCAGTAGCTAGCTATAGATAGGGATGGGGATCCAGAGTTTCTAGTTCAAAACGATTTTGTAGCAGCTGAAAATCAAGGAGAATGGGAGGCCCCTGTGTTTCCCTGTTGGCATATTATTATTATTATTACAAAGTGGAGTCTTTGTTTTGACATGTAGCTAGCTAGCTAGCTAAACAATGAACCATAATCCCAACCCATACAACACAAACATATTGTCATATCTAGCCACCATGCATGAAATGCTGTAGTATGAATCTGCAGGTAGATAAAGCTAACCAACTAGGTTCAATGCTAGCTAGCTAGCTAACATTAGGCTATAACTAGAAATGCAAATACATCTCTGAGATACAAATAATATTACTACACAGATCATACACGTAACGTTATAGCGAGCCAGCAAGGTAACATTCGCTAGCTAGCTAACAGGACACTTTAACTTGTAATAAAAACAACTTTCTGACAAAATTAGAAATGAATAATATCTGAAAATGTTACTAGACTCTTACCCGTATACACGGATGAATGCTTCATGGCAGACTGGAACCACTTTAACTAAGATAGATGTCCTGTGTTGTTTCCATTTTGATTGTAGCTAACACATCAAAATGTGGAATAAGTCAAGGGGTATGAATACTTTCTGAAGGCACTGTATGTGGTTGAATTTTTTCCGCCACTCTGTGACACTTGTCTCTGTGAAACAATGTAGTCTATGGCTTATCGGCCTTATATCGGATATCACGGTGCCTTAGAAATGCATTTCTAATAGAGCAAACAACACAATTATCACAACATACTGTATGTTGTAAAATAAAATATCCTGGTTTGGCTTCCCCATTTATTTTACCCATGCACCGCTACTGGGAAAGTGTTCTCTCATGTGTGAAGTATTTAGATGGTTAGCATTCCTCTCCTCTCATCCTTTCAGTATGTACAGTATATTGCTGAGTAGCTTACTAACACCTTGTGTGTTTGCGTGTGTATGTTTCAGGATGTATCGAGCTGAGAAGCTGCCCAACACCAACCTGGTGTTTCTGATCACTGATGCCAAGGCTACCTGTCTGTCCTGTGACCCCAGACCACTACGACAGGCGGAGCAACCCTGTATCCTTGCGCACACATACACACACAAACACACACACACACAAATCGTATTGCATTCATTTAGTCAGTATTACTGCTAGATTGAAAACTTTTATTCTCATAGTATAAATTAATATGGAGCTGTGTATCTGAATGGAACATCTGGAACCCACGTTGGGATCACTTTCAATCAGTGTAAAGTGTAAGTTTGTATGTGTGCGTGTCTACGAGACATACAGTGGGGAAAAAAAGTATTTTGTCAGCAACCAATTGTGCAAGTTCTCCCACTTAAAAAGATGAGAGAGGCCTGTAATTTTCATCATAGGTACACGTCAACTATGACAGACAAATTGAGAAAAAAATTTCCAGAAAATCACATTGTAGGATTTTTAATGAATTTATTTGCAAATTATGGTGGAAAATAAGTATTTGGTCACCTACAAACAAGCACAATTTCTGGCTCTCACAGACCTGTAACTTCTTCTTTAAGAGGCTCCTCTGTCCTCCACTCGCTACCTGTATTAATGGCACCTGTTTTAACTTGTTATCAGTATAAAAGACACCTGTCCACAACCTCAAACAGTCACACTCCAAACTCCACTATGGCCAAGACCAAAGAGCTGTCAAAGGACACCAGAAACAAAATTGTAGACCTGCACCAGGCTGAGAAGACTGAATCTGCAATAGGTAAGCAGCTTGGTTTGAAGAAATCAACTGTGGGAGCAATTATTAGGAAATGGAAGACATACAAGACCACTGATAATCTCCCTCGATCTGGGGCTCCACGCAAGATCTCACCCCGTGGGGTCAAAATTATCACAAGAACGGTGAGCAAAAATCCCAGAACCACACGGGGGGACCTAGTGAATGACCTGCAGAGAGCGGGACCAAAGTAACAAAGCCTACCATCAGTAACACACTACGCCGCCAGGGACTTAAATCCTGCAATGCCAGACGTGTCCCTCTGCTTAAGCCAGTACATGTCCAGGCCCGTCTGAAGTTTGCTAGAGTGCATTTGGATGATCCAGAAGAGGATTGGGAGAATGTCATATGGTCAGATGAAACCAAAATAGAACTTTTTGGTAAAAACTCAACTCGTCGTGTTTGGAGGACAAAGAATGCTGAGTTGCATCCAAAGAACACCATACCTACTGTGAAGCATGGGGGTGGAAACATCATGCTTTGGGGCTGTTTTTCTGCAAAGGGACCAGGACGACTGATCCGTGTAAAGGAAAGAATGAATGGGGCCATGTATCGTGAGATTTTGAGTGAAAACCTCCTTCCATCAGCAAGGGCATTGAAGATGAAACGTGGCTGGGTCTTTCAGCATGACAATGATCCCAAACACACCGCCCGGGCAACGAAGGAGTGGCTTCGTATGAAGCATTTCAAGGTCCTGGAGTGGCCTAGCCAGTCTCCAGATCTCAACCCCATAGAAAATCTTTGGAGGGAGTTGAAAGTCTGTGTTGCCCAGCGACAGCCCCAAAACATCACTGCTCTAGAGGAGATCTGCATGGAGGAATGGGCCAAAATACCAGCAACAGTGTGTGAAAACCTTGTGAAGACTTACAGAAAACGTTTGACCTGTGTCATTGCCAACAAAGGGTATATAACAAAGTATTGAGAAACTTTTGTTATTGACCAAATACTTATTTTCCACCATAATCTGCAAATAAATTCATTAAAAATCCTACAATGTGATTTTCTGGAATTTTCTTTCTCATTTTGTCTGTCATAGTTGACGTGTACCTATGATGAAAATTACAGGCCTCTCTCATCTTTTTAAGTGGGAGAACTTGCACAATTGGTGGCTGACTAAATACTTTTTTTCCCCACTGTATGTGTCTGGGGCTTTAGATTCCTGATGATGTAACAGTAAAAGTGTCATCATCAGAGGTCAGAGAGGGGTCAAACAAGAGGCCTGTAGTTTATTACAGCTCAATATGCTGCTAATGAGGACAAACACACACACTCACACACACACATAAAACATACACACTCTTTTGCACACAACTGAGAGGTTGTTCAATCATGGTGTCATGTTCAATCATGGGGGTGATATTTATTATGGAGTTGTTAAAGGGTAATACACTTCCAAAGACAGGGTGATACACAGGTTAGCGTTTTTCATCATGAATCTTGTTCTGGAGGCAGCTCTGCAGAGTGGTCAATAGCTGGCACTACCACAAAGTCATAAAATCTGATTTTAAACCTAACACTAACCTTATCCCTAACCTTAACCACACTGCTAACCCTAATGCCTAACCTTAAAATATTTTTTCCCCCATTAATTTTTACAATAGAGACTATCTTGACTTTGCAGCTGGCCCATCTAGTGGACATCGCTCAGTTCTGCTTCCAGAACAAGACTCATCCCAATAAACGTCAACCTGTGGGAGATACATCTGAGTTTGTAAGGCAGTGTGTTAAAGATGTGATTTAGAGATGTATGTTTGACCAAGATGTGTCGGTATTTAAGATCAGTGTTGCAGATTTGTTTGTGTGTTAGTATTTCCTTAGTGTGTGTGTGCAGCCCAAGGTCCAGATCGCTGTGAGCTGGCTCAGAACCCCAGGTACAGGAAAGGACCTGACGTGTGTTTCGACAACAACGTAGACGTAAGTCAAACACGTGCGCACACGTATTTTATTTTTCTCCATCTCTCTATTTATCTCTCTCTCTCTCTCTCTCTCTTGCTCCTTCTCTCTCTTCCCATCTCTTGGTTTGGATGTTCTTCATTGCCCGATTGCATTAATTGGTTTGTATCTTTTTTTAAATTCATACTTTGGTCTCAGGGATATTTTCTGTGTGAAAACTAACGAACAGGTTGCTTGCATGACAGGTCTTCTCATGTTCATTCTCTCATATGTCTGATATATTTTATGAAGTTATATTATCCTGAAATTTATACCATTTATACTGACTTTCATTAACTGTTACTAACTGTCATTTCGTGTTTTAGCATGACACCCTCATTTTCATCTTTCTTTTACATGCTTTCTTTCTCCTTGTCTCTGTCCTTCTATTTCCATAGTTCATCCTTCATTTTGCATCTCCATTGGCTGCTGCTCATGTCTGTCATGGTAGGACGAGCCCCTGTATCCAATCAGTGACGTCTCTGGTCTGAGTCCCGTCCCCCTCCTCATGTTAATGCAGGTGTTGATGCTGGGCCCAGGGACAGTGTCCGTCAATAAAATCTGAACTGAGACCTGTGTCTCTACACCACTGTTGATAGTCAGGTGTTACATACAGCAGCTACTAACTGACCTGAAATCTGCTGATAGGCCTTAAACACAACCACTACTAAAATATTCACCCCCCTTGGCATTTTTCCTATTTTGTTGCCTTACAACCTGGAATTAAAATTGATTTTGGGGGGGTTTGTATCATTTGATTTACACAACATGCCTACCACTTTGAAGATGCAAAATAATTTTTTGGGTGAAACAAACAAGAAATAAGACCAAAAAAAAAAAAGACTTGAGCGTGCATAATTATTATGGCTCTACAAAGTCAATACTTTGTAGAGCCACCTTTTGCAGCAATTACAGCTGAAAGTCTCTTGGGGCATGTCTCTATAAGCTTGGCACATCTAGCCACTGGGATTTTTGCCCATTCTTCAAGGCAAAACTGCTCCAGCTCCTTCAAGTTGGATGGGTTCCACTGGTGTACAGCAATCTTTAAGTCATACCACAGATTCTCAATTGGATTGAGGTCTGGGCTTTGACTAGGCCCTTCCAAGACATTTAAATGTTTCCCCTTAAACCACTCGAGTGTTGCTTTAGCAGTATGCTTAGGGTCATTGTCCTGCTGGAAAGTGAACCTCCGTCCCAGTCTCAAATCTCTGCAAGACTGAAACAGATTTCCCTCAAGAATTTCCCTGTATTTAGCGCCATCCATCATTCCTTCAATTCTGACCAGTTTCCCAGTCCCTGCCAATGAAAAATAGGATGGTATTCTCGGGGTGATGAGAGGTGTTGGGTTTTCGCCAGACATAGCGTTTTCCTTGATGGCCAATAAGCTCAAATTTAGTCTCATCTTTAAGCAATGGCTTTTTTCTGGCCACTCTTCCATAAATCCCAGCTCTGTGACGTGTACGGCTTAAAGTAGTCGTATGGACAGATACTCCAATCTCCGCTGTGGAGCTTTGCAGCTCCTTCTGGGTTATCTTTGGTCTCTTTGTTGCCTCTCTGATTAATGCCCTCCTTGCCTGGTCCGTGAGTTTTGGTGGGCGGCCCTCTCTTGGCAGGTTTGTTGTGGTGCCATATTCTTTCAATTTTTTTATAATGGATTTAATGGTGCTCCGTGGGATGTTCAAAGTTTCTGATATTTTTTTATAACCCAACCCTGATCTGTACTTCTCCACAACTTTGTCCCTGACCTGTTTGGAGAGCTCCTTGGTCATCATGGTGCCGCTTGCTTGGTGGTGCCCCTTGCTTAGTGGTGTTGCAGACTCTGGGGCCTTTCAGAACAGGTGTATATATATATACTGAGATCATGTGACAGATCATGTGACACTTAGATTGCACACAGGTGGACTTTATTTAACTAATTATGTAACATCTGAAGGTAATTGGTTGCACCTGATCTTATTTAGGGGCTTCATAGCAAAGGTGGTGAATACATACAGTGGGGAAAAAAAGTATTTAGTCAGCCACCAATTGTGCAAGTTCTCCCACTTAAAAAGATGAGAGAGGCCTGTAATTTTCATCATAGGTACACGTCAACTATGACAGACAAATTGAGAAAAGAAAATCCAGAAAATCACATTGTAGGAGCTTTAATGAATTTATTTGCAAATTATGGTGGAAAATAAGTATTTGGTCACCTACAAACAAGCAAGATTTCTGGCTCTCACAGACCTGTAACTTCTTCTTTAAGAGGTTCCTCTGTCCTCCACTTGTTACCTGTATTAATGGCACCTGTTTGAACTTGTTATCAGTATAAAATACATCTGTCCACAACCTCAAACAGTCACACTCCAAACTCCACTATGGCCAAGACCAAAGAGCTGTCAAAGGACACCAGAAACAAAATTGTAGACCTGCACCAGGCTGGGAAGACTGAATCTGCAATAGGTAAGCAGCTTGGTTTGAAGAAATCAACTGTGGGAGCAATTATTAGGAAATGGAAGACATACAAGACCACTGATAATCTCCCTCGATCTGGGGCTCCACGCAAGATCTCACCCCGTGGGGTCAAAATGATCACAAGAACGGTGAGCAAAAATCCCAGAACCACACGGGGGGACCTAGTGAATGACCTGCAGAGAGCTGGGACCAAAGTAACAAAGCCTACCATCAGTAACACACTACGCCGCCAGGGACTCAAATCCTGCAGTGCTAGACGTGTCCCCCTGCTTAAGCCAGTACATGTCCAGGCCCGTCTGAAGTTTGCTAGAGTGCATCCAGAAGAGGATTGGGAGAATGTCATATGGTCAGATGAAACCAAAATATAACTTTTTGGTAAAAACTCAACTCGTCGTGTTTGGAGGACAAAGAATGCTGAGTTGCATCCAAAGAACACCATACCTACTGTGAAGCATGGGAGTGAAAACATCATACTTTGGGGCTGTTTTTCTGCAAAGGGACCAGGACGACTGATCCGTGTAAAGGAAAGAATGAATGGGGCCATGTATCGTGAGATTTGGAGTGAAAACCTCCTTCCATCAGCAAGGGCATTGAAGATGAAACGTGGCTGGGTCTTTCAGCATGACAATGATCCCAAACACACCGCCCGGGCAACGAAGGAGTGGCTTCGTAAGAAGCATTTCAAGATCCTGGAGTCTCCAGATCTCAACCCCATAGAAAATCTTTGGAGGGAGTTGAAAGTCCGTGTTGCCCAGCGACAGCCCCAAAACATCACTGCTCTAGAGGAGATCTGCATGGAGGAATGGGCCAAAATACATGCAACAGTGTGTGAAAACCTTGTGAAGACTTACAGAAAACGTTTGACCTGTGTCATTGCCAACAAAGGGTATATAACAAAGTATTGAGAAACTTTTGTTATTGACCAAATACTTATTTTCCACCATAATTTGCAAATAAATTCATTAAAAATCCTACAATGTGATTTTCTGGAATTTTTTTCCTCATTTTGTCTGTCATAGTTGACGTGTACCTATGATGAAAATTACAGGCCTCTCTCATCTTTTTAAGTGGGAGAACTTGCACAATTGGTGGCTGACTAAATACTTTTTTTCCCCACTGTATGCACGCACCACTTTTCAGTTATTTATTTTTTTGAAACAAGTTATTTTTTTCATTTCACTTCACCAATTTTGACTATTTTGTGTATGTCCATTACATGAAATCCAAATAAAAATCCATTTAAATTACAGGTTGTAATGCAACAAAATAGGAAAAACGACAAGGGGGATGAATACTTTTGCAAGGGACTGTATGTGGTAATAATGATTACCTGGCTTCTAGTACTGTAGCTACTTCCTTCAAATAATTAAACACACTTGGATAATCCCAGAGCAAAAGAAAAATAAGGTACCACTACAGTATATCATGTAATTCTATACCAGGTGAATAGTGTACTGTAGAGTAAAAGGGATGTGAATAGAATGTGACTGATGGTGAGAAGGCTGCTGCTGTGAATGTGACATCATCTCCAACTCTGAACAATACTGACATCCCTCATGTAAATATTTAACATACCCCACAGTAATTCCCATGTCTATTCTGACACACCGTCTTTGTACTACCCGTTATAGACCGGTCACACACACAGGCCGGTTGCAATCTTTAGGGTGGCCTGGGAATGGAAGGTACAGGTATTGTACAGCAGATGTAGATCGTCTATGGTGAGTGAAAGTAGGACAAAGCCCTCTCCCCACAGCTGAACTATGGAAGTTGCTCTGCAGTCTATATTCCCTCTAGAGTAAATAGAGGAGGTGCCAGATGGGTTTCCTGCCTTTGACAGTGTGCAGTACACTCACACACACAAAGGCCAAGGACACACAAGGATATCCTTAACACTGGCATCAAACAGCAGGAGGCCGAACACACACACACACACACACACACACACACACACACACACACACACACACACACACACACACACACACACACACACACACACACACACACACACACACACACACACACACACACACACACTGAACGTTCTATAATGTTGCACCCTTCTGAACGCAGATATGTGTGTTATCTATTATTTGCCACCATAATCTGAGTTTGAATTGTCTGATTGGCTGCCTGTCTGATTAACGTTTGTTGTGACCAATAGGAGGATGAGTCTGACTGTGGGGGCGGGACATCTCTAAGCCCCTGCCTCTGGCCCATGTTGGGACTCCAACTACTGCTGCTGTGGCTCCTCACTGGCCCCCGACACTCATGACCCCTACACACACATACACACACACACACACACACACACATCTCACCCAAGTGTTTTACATTGGACTGTTTTCTGACGCTCCATCCCCTGAATGTCATCACTGATATGTTAACTCACTGCCAGTATGGAAGAGGAGTCACTCTCCTGTTCTCCAATCGTTCTCCAAAGCCAAAGGGGTGCTCTTTCCTCTATCTCATCTCTTCTCCACCATGTTTACTGAGCCATTCTATTCTAGGGAGCTAACCAAACCCTTTAATTATTTTTCATAAATGGATTTATATGTTTTGGTTGCCAACATGATATTATGATTCACTGACACAAATTATTTGTATAGGCATAGTTTATGTTGTTTATGATATTTATTATACTGTACAGTATATATAGAAAATATTATTATAAAGACAACAAAACCTGTAACTGAAATGGAAAGCAAAGTTACTGATAATCCAACAGTTTTTATTTATTTATTTGTGTAGGTCAAACAGCAATATGTGAATAGATGCAGTAGACTAGAGTAGTGTTCACTCAGTAGAGAGCTGAAGAACACTAAGACACCATTTCATAGAGGAACGGGGATAGTTGACCCATGATAGATCTTTCTCTGAAAACATGCAGGGTCAAATCATACTTTAATATCTTTATGGTCACGTTACCATTCCTAGGGTACCAATCAGTGACCTAGGCAAATTACTTTCTAATACTTTTGGTGTGCTTTGTTTTGCTTCACATACAGGGTAGGCAGGCTTTGCCCTTTTGGGACTATGCCATTTGTTCCATTGCACACCAGGCAATCTAAATCTAGTGCAACTCAAGTCTTTGAAAGTACAGTATGCATATGACCCAGGTCTGTATAGATACAGCATAGACACTGATACAGTATAGCTTCATTTAATGCATCAGATTCCCATTGCCTACAGTGGGGGAAAAAAGTATTTAGTCAGCCACCAATTGTGCAAGTTCTCCCACTTAAAAAGATGAGAGAGGCCTGTAATTTTCATCATAGGTACACGTCAACTATGACAGACAAACTGAGAATTTTTTTCTCCAGAAAATCACATTGTAGGATTTTTAATGAATTTATTTTTGCAAATTATGGTGGAAAATAAGTATTTGGTCACCTACAAACAAGCAAGATTTCTGGCTCTCACAGACCTGTAACTTCTTCTTTAAGAGGCTCCTCTGTCCTCCACTCGTAACCTGTATTAAGTGCACCTGTTTGAACTTGTTATCAGTATAAAAGACACCTGTCCACAACCTCAAACAGTCACACTCCAAACTCCACTATGGCCAAGACCAAAGAGCTGTCAAAGGACACCAGAAACAAAATTGTAGACCTGCACCAGGCTGGGAAGACTGAATCTGCAATAGGTAAGCAGCTTGGTTTGAAGAAATCAACTGTGGGAGCAATTATTAGGAAATGGAAGACATACAAGACCACTGATAATCTCCCTCAATCTGGGGCTCCACGCAAGATCTCACCCCGTGGGGTCAAAATGATCACAAGAACGGTGAGCAAAAATCCCAGAACCACACGGGGGGACCTAGTGAATGACCTGCAGAGAGCTGGGACCAAAGTAACAAAGCCTACCATCAGTAACACACTACGCCGCCAGGGACTCAAATCCTGCAGTGCCAGACGTGTCCCCCTGCTTAAGCCAGTACATGTCCAGGCCCGTCTGAAGTTTGCTAGAGTGCATTTGGATGATCCAGAAGAGGATTGGGAGAATGTCATATGGTCAGATGAAACCAAAATATAACTTTTTGGTAAAAACTCAACTCGTCGTGTTTGGAGGACAAAGAATGCTGAGTTGCATCCAAAGAACACCATACCTACTGTGAAGCATGGGGGTGGAAACATCATGCTTTGGGGCTGTTTTTCTGCAAAGGGACCAGGACGACTGATCCGTGTAAAGGAAAGAATGAATGGGGCCATGTATCGTGAGATTTTGAGTGAAAACCTCCTTCCATCAGCAAGGGCATTGAAGATGAAACGTGGCTGGGTCTTTCAGCATGACAATGATCCCAAACACACCGCCCGGGCAACGAAGGAGTGGCTTCGTAAGAAGCATTTCAAGGTCCTGGAGTGGCCTATCCAGTCTCCAGATCTCAACCCCATAGAAAATATTTGGATGGAGTTGAAAGTCCGTGTTGCCCAGCGACAGCCCCAAAACATCACTGCTCTAGAGGAGATCTGCATGGAGGAATGGGCCAAAATACCAGCAACAGTGTGTGAAAACCTTGTGAAGACTTACAGAAAATGTTTGACCTGTGTCATTGTCAACAAAGGGTATATAACAAAGTATTGAGAAACTTTTGTTATTGACCAAATACTTATTTTCCACCATAATTTGCAAATAAATTCATTAAAAATCCTACAATGTGATTTTCTGGAGAAAAAAAATCTCATTTTGTCTGTCATAGTTGACGTGTACCTATGATGATAATTTCAGGCCTCTCTCATCTTTTTAAGTGGGAGAACTTGCACAATTGGTGGCTGACTAAATACTTTGTTTCCCCACTGTATATAGCTCCAAAATACCATTAATTTATCCAAAGTTATTCTTTGACAGGGAGTCATTGGAATTATGTCCAAAGGTGTCTCAGTTGCATGCCGTACAGTATGCTATGTGTAGTAGTAGAGCAGGAGCCGTAGCTCAGAGATACGTTTCTTATGTTACGTAGCTGGTATCTACCCAGCCTGGGTGGCAGTCTGTGTTTCAGCTTCAGACTGGCAGCTAGGCTTGAATAATATGCTCCTGAAATTTGTTCTCAGGATTTCAGGAACGTGAAAGACAGAAAAGCTTTCCAAAAGGCTTCAGTAGTTAGTTACATCACACATCCTGGTGAGCAGAGAAGTGGAGAATGATATCAGCATATCTAAAGACTGTTTCTTTATCATCTTCTTCTTGTTCCTCTTCTGCTTGTTTCTTCTTTGTGTTTCTCTCTAAAAGCTGTAAACGAGACGCCGAAAGCTCAGTGTCCAAACAATGCAATGTGACGGAAAGAGTCTGTTCGACGTTGGATGCTCCTCAAACCAGGAGTCACTGTTTCGCCATGATGGACAGGACCAAGTTTCAAGCACTGTTACCACAGACCTGAACAACAGACACATTTACTCACTCTCATCCCTAATCATTAGTTCAAGTTAAATTCTCAGTTACACATTACAAAAATGCAGCACTGTAACCCTAACCCAAAACGAAGTACTTACTGTATGATTGTTGCCAATACTGTCCCTTCTGCCATGACCATCTAGTGACCACCTGGTTTGGAGCGTTCAGGATCATGCCTGTTTATTGGAGTAGCATGTTGATGTGTGTATAACGCCAACGGCATGACGTAGCCCTGGTATGGGCATGTCCCTGGGGTATCTCTGATTGTGCTTTAATACATGACTTACTATTTTGTCAATTTTGTATACATTTGTACAATAATGACATTTAGTGTATAAAAAAGAAACGGAAAATAATGTTTATAATATGGTGTTGATTCTTGTGCAAATATGATATATTCACAATAAAAGTGTAGTATTGTTATGGTCTGTTGAGTAGCTGTTCCTTCAATAGGAGAGTATTTTATGGACATCCAACTTGGCATAAAATAACTGCTTACTGTTTGAGGCTCCCCTGTTCCCACAAGTAATAATTCAATAATGATTTTTACATTTTAGTAGACACTCTTATCCAGAGCAACTGGGTTTAAGTGCCTTGCTCAAGGGCACATCAACAGGTTCTTCACACAGTCAGCTCAGGGATTCCAACCAGCAACCTTTTCGTTACTGGCCCAATGCTCTTAACCGCTAGACTACCTGCCACTTAATGATGAAGGTCACTGTATGCCATTATAAGCACTTATCTATGCCATCTAGCATTGTTTGGTTTAATATTATACGGCACTGACAGACATGAAATTACCATGGCGGTCTAGCTAATAGACAAAACAAATATGACATGTTCTTGTGCTCTCCAGCACACTGATAACACATTTTTCAAAATGCAATGTTCCTCATATTGATCAGATTATCTGAAAGAGCAATAGGTTATTATGCAACCATCAGTGACAGTGAGTCTGCCTATGGCAGACATTTTCTGTGTTATTCTTCAAGGCTTGGGATTCATTATGACAACTTTAATTTCCATTAATTTTCTCGTAATGATAATGTGACTGTATCACTACTGGACTCCCTAACTGATGATAGATCATGGTTCTAGTCATAGTAAAAGGGTTCTCACTGTGAATGACCTGGTTCCAATGGGACATTTTTCAACCACAAAGTGACCCACACTTTAAAGGCCTGCAAACTCTCATACCAACCTTACGTAATGTGATATTTATGGATGCACATTTTGTCTGTAAGGTGCTATTGGAGAACAATAGTGCATATGCCTTCTTCTTTCTTTAAGCAGAATGCTTTTCCTAATATTTAAGTATATTGTGATGTGCGTGCTGCATTCTTTGCCGCACACACACACATAAATACATACATACAGTACACAGCATTACTGAGGACAGGTATGCTTGCAGATGAAAGCTAGAGAGATTTGTAGTAACATAGCATGTCCCCTGTACCAGACTGTGTCCCTGAAAGGACCCACAAGTACCCTCTCTCCTGGCTGGGGGATTCGCAGAGACAGGCCTGGCCTCTTTTCTGTTCTGGTCTTTCTTCTAGACCAGATGTCAGCATCACAGCTCTGACAGGTCACAGTGTTGTTAGGTTTATGTTATTTATCTGATGTTATCTTTGGATGAATGCAACCACAGCTCATTTTAAGAGCTTTGTGTTTGTTACACTGGGCAACAAAACCTTCTCAAAAGGATCACCTTGGGCTGTACTGGGGGGTCTTGGTGTGTGTGTGTGTGTGTGTGTGTGTGTCTGTGTGTGTGTGTGTGTGTGTGTGTGTGTGTGCGTGTGTGTGTGTGAAGAGATGGTTACACTGTAAAACCATGAAGCATGTGACACGTTTATAACCTTAAGTGTTAAAAACTTAAACATTAGGCAT